CGAGCCATATGTGTGTGAAGAGATAGGCTTTTTTGGGATAAAATATGTGAGAGTGTGAAGACTCAAGCTAGGATTTTGTAAAGATGAGGGTGAGTCAGGCAGTGTGCTTCTTTCATATGGAGGCTGTTTATGTAGAGTCGAGGGAATGCAGATCAAAAGGTAGCGTGAAGGTCAAGTCATGTCCATCACTCAAGAAGTCAACTATTTTGAATTTGTTGAACGGAAGTGCTTTTCATTCGGATTCGCCATTCGTGCAAGTGTGCACTGTTCAGCACGTAATTGCCTCGTGGGAAGTTGAGTTAGGTAAGAGATGTGATCCGGGAGCCGTCATTATCGTTTTTCTTCAAGTGAGTTCAATGGACTGCTCACCTCTTCGTTCAACAGTTCAATTGGGTGAACATCCACAGATGATTCTTTTGCTGGATTTGCTTTTCAATTCCCATTCTTACGGCCGGGTTTGGCGACGCGAGACAATAACTAAGTACGATATCGGAGTGATTAAATGAAATGAGTTGATTAGATCCCATCTCATTTTCTATCTTTTTACCTCCCCTGGGGTTGGCGCTTGTCACTGAGTAGGATATCGAAGTGATTAAAGAAACAAGTGAACCAACTCCGTTGCCATACTCTATTCTTTCACCTTTAAGGTTGGCGTAACTGGTTGGAACGTAATGAGATTTACTGAAAGTTACTTATTCAAATATCTCAATTTACGTGTAAACTAATTTGAATAAGAGCCAAACCTGCATGCATGAATAAAAAACTCGAATTTAGCCGGCCCGCTAGACTTGCAAGATGTTTCATGCACCTCCGAGTAATTGATCTTATGATGGACATAATTCCAGCCTTTCGTTCAAGAAATAGAAAAGCTCTATACCATTGAGCAAGTCAAGGCTTGCGATCCATATTCACTTTGGGTACCAGCTTTCCTGGATAAAAGGTACGGAAACATTCAGCAATTGGACCATTAAAGAAAAAAAAAATCACTTGCCACTATGGCTGCGAATGGTAATCATTCTATTTCTCTATTTCTGTTCCAGAAATAGGTTTAGAACAGAAATCTGTTTGGTAACGAAATTTCTATTTTTATTTCTGGAACAAATTTTTGTTCCAGAAATAAGTTTGGAATAGAAATCAGAAGTTTAAATTTTTTGTTTCTCTATTTCTGGAACAGAAATGAGAAACAAAATTTTTTTGTTCTTCTCATCACTTTCCCTCACTACTAGCCGGTCGCTCACCCGCCGCCCATCGCCGGCCGCCGCCACCCGTCGACCGCCACTACCCGCCGCCGGCCGCCGCTGCCAGCCATCGTCTCTTGCCGCTACCAGCCATCGTCTCTTGCCGTTGCCGCCGGCCACCGTCTCCTGCCGCCGCCTACCCTCCTCCCCCTACCAGTGGCCTATGACCGCCACCCACCACCAACCACCGTTTTCCGCCGCCACCCGTCTCCCACCCCCGGCCTCCCTCCTCCCGCCACCGCCGTCCGCCTTTGGCCACCGCCCACCTCCCATCGCTGGCCGCCGTAGGTCGGCCACCATCTCTCGCCGCCACTCGCCTCCCACCCCCGGCCTCTCTCCTTCCACCACCGCCGCCCACCTCCCACCGCCAGCCGCCCGGCCACCATCTCCCACCACCGACCGCCCTCCTCCCACCGCCACCTGCCTCCCACCGTGGGCCGCCGCCCGCCGTCCACCGGCCACGATCTCTCGCCGGTCGCCGTGGGCCGCCATCCACCGACCACCGTCTTCTGCCACCGGTCGCCCTCTTTTGGCCGCCACCCACCTCCCACCGCCGGCCACCGTTGGCCACTGCCTGCCGTCCATCGGCCACCATCACTCACCGTTGGCCACCGTCCTCTCGCCGCCGCCCGCCTCCCATCGTCGGCCACCGTTTCCCGCCGCCACCCGCCCTCCTCCCGCCACCATCCACCGTCCGCTGACCACCCGAGAAGAAGAAATTTTGTGCCGTTATCAAACAAATTTCTATTCCAGAAACAGAAATTTTGTGTAGTTATCAAACGTGTTTTTTTGCTAAGAAACTCCTCTAGGAACAGAAATAGAAAAATCAATTTCTGGCCAGAAATTGATTTCTGAAATAGAATGGTTACCATTCGCAGCCTATATTATTGGAGATCGACCACATCAAATGAGTTACTCGGACGACAAGATCTCAAGAAATTATTGGATAAACTAAATATATTGCTTACGCACTAGAAAGAGCTAAACGATGATCAGAGCGTAGAATCCATGCTACCCATTGTTTTCCCATCATGATTTACTCGGATTGACTAGATGAACAAGATCATGTCAATGTGAGGCGAATGATTATGATGTTGATATGAAGAACTGTTTGTCTTTGCGGATATTCAACGAGAACGAGAGAAGAAAAATCTTCCCAACTCTCGTGGATTCAATGCACCAGCCGTGGTGGTAGAAGAGCAATCTCTCCTTTTGGCTCGTGTCGTTTTCACGTACAAGATTCTTCCTCGTCCTTAGTTCAATGCTTAACAGTACGATGAGAATTACAGCTCTTCGCGACTTCTAAATTGAGCAGTCCTCTCATGGATGCAACTTTTCTGAACTTTTAGGAAGAGGGTGGAACCCACCTCGAGATGAAACACAAATTTTCATAATTTATCTGCGAAGCAATAGGTTTTGTATTTGATACGATATTATTCGTGTATCACTACGAATTAGTACGCCGGATTAAGGTTCTGATAATCCTTTGAAGCTCTTCGATCTATCTAATGATAGCTTCCTTGGTAAAGCACAGTTAGATTGAGCATAGTCTTACAAGTTTACCTGCTGAAGAAATGACTCAGGGCGCGAATGATAACTATTTTGTTCCAGAAATAATTTCTGGAACAGAAATAGATTCCAGGACGAGTTTTTTAGGAAAGAAACCCGTTTGATAACGACAAAAAATTTCTATTTCTGAAATAGAAACCTGTTTGATAACAGCATAAAATTTCTATTTCTTGGAACATAAACCCATTTAATAACAACACAAATTTCTATTTCCCAGAATAGAAATCCATTTTTTTAGAAATAGTTTCTAAAATGAAAATCAATCAACACACCCAAATCCTAGTATAGCCCTAAAGGCTTATTCATTCAAAGGATTGTGTTGTTTTTTAGGGGTAAAGACCCCTTTTGGGGGTTAAACCCCTTTTAAATCCCTAAACTAAGGAGTCTTCAAAAATATCATTTGGGCACCTCAAGAAATTTAAATTTCACTTAAAATGGGTAGCTACAGTTATTCTAAGTCATTCTGTGAAATTTTGAAATTTTTGATTTTTTTTGAAAAAATTCACCAAATTTCCTATTTCCCCAAAATCTGACTTTTTTTTATTTTCTGGAAATTTTTATGAATTTTTCTGTAATTTTTCAATTTTTATGGATTTTCTGAAATTTTTTTGAGATTTTTAGGAATTTTTTGGATTTTCTGAATTTCTTGATTTTTTTTTCTGATATTTCTAATTTTTTTTAGTTTTTTTTATTTTCCTGCCGGGAATGAACCGGATCGAATCGGTTCGGACCGGGGCCAAATTTAGAACAGATGTGTTTTGAAGAGAGAAGACATGTTCTTTTAGAAATGATTTTCATTTCTCATCTAGAAACAGAAAATCTACTGCTTTTTTGTTTTGATTTTTTGTCCAGAACCAGTTCTAGAACAAAAGGTTGTTCCAGAAATAGAAAAATGGAATTGCGTTACCAAACAGGTTTCTATTCCAAACTTGTTCCCGGAAATAGAAAATTAGTTCTGAACAAAAACAAAATGGTTATCATGCGCGTCCTTAGATGATAACCAGGCTATTAACAAGGGAAAACTTGACCAAATATTAGAAATAAAGGTTCCGTACTATTGCTTAAAATGATGAAGGACAATAGGAAGCACTAGAAAGATTGCTCAGATCAAAACAGACTTACATAATATCCCAATAAAAACTAGTAGTATAGTGGGTCAGGTCGGGCCGGGTTTTTCGTGCTACCCGACTAGAACAATAAGAGAAGCATGTTCTTTCAGACTCGAGTTCCACCCAAATCACATATGACCCAAACTCAAAACCCGGGTCGGGTTTCGAGTGTTAATAACCCTCTGGTTTTCTATTCCTTGTCCTTTGAGGTCGAAGGTGGGATTAAGATAAAATGTACCCTTTGATCGTCGATAAATACACATTGCTGGTTGGGACTTGCAATGTCTAAAAAAATAGGGAGACGATAGGATACCATTGACAATACCTTCTTTGATTTATCATTTTTTTTCCAAGTTCAAACTCAATAAGTGATAAAATCTTTATATGATGTCGCATTGTCTAAATCCAATAAGAAATATAAGCTGGCAGATGATAAATCGCTAAGCTTTAAATGTGGTGGTCATCGTGAGCATATGGTAATGACAAAGATAAAGTGCAGTGCCACGACATGGGCACTGAAACAAACACTCTCTCCGCTCTCGCTGCAACTATATATAATAGATTATAGATATATAAAGTCATTTTGAAAATTTTCACATTTTTTTCAGGAAAGTATTAGCTATCCCTTGAATATTTGTTAAACCTTATTTAATGCGCTTTACTAGACGATTTTATTAAATCGTAATTCTTCAATTTTCAACATGTCTGAAAAATCATTATTTTCTCCTTTAGTAAATTTAATTAGTGCACTATGGACATTTATTAACAGGACTTTTTAAAAAGAAAAATAATCTTCTTCCTATTACAATTTTTTTGGACGAAGACCAAAAAAAAGGTAATAAAATTCTTATTTCTTATACATTATACAAACAAATCAAAGTGTTTGCTTTAAATGATGGCATTTTTTATTTTCACACATTAGACTTTGTTCAATAGCAAACACGATAATATTACCAAAGGGTATTGCCTTTTTTTAATTTTTATCAAATTATAGAGTCTTGTTAACGACCGCTTCCTGACATCTGTTAATCGTATTCGCGGTAGTTTTTTTTACACAGGTGTTCAAACAAAATTCATATCTAAGTAATGTGAATCTTAGCATTCAAAAAAAATTATTTAGGAAATTTTGGTATAATTCAGAAATTAAATTTTGGCGGGCGCTTAAACCCCCGAAGGCGTTTAGGGTTCCCACGAACATATAAAATCAGATTGCGCCACAAAAAGATCCGTTGCAATTTGCGGAATTGCCAGCGGCGCTGTGTCAGCCATGTTTGAATTCGATGATGCGATGGAAGCGGAAGCCGATGGCGGCGCTGTTGTCGAGGAGGACAAGGAAAGCCGCAAGAGGAAGCTGCCGGCGAACGCGGAAGCCGACGGCCGCGGCGCCGGCTCAGCGGGCGACGGTAGGCTTCTCAAGAGGATCATGCTTTCCTTGACGAAGCCGTCGTACGTCCTCGGGCTCGGCGGGGGGAGCTTGCGGTCGGAGAACCGCCGCAGGTTGTATCGGCTCCTGCGCAGGCTCGCGAGGCGGCACAGCTGGGCCGAGGCGAGCGGGGTTCTGAGCGTGCTCTTGAAGGGGACGCGCAAGGATAGGTGTCCCGAGCACAATCGGCTCAAGTATTCGGTGAGACACGAATTCATTTCTCTAGACTGTTTAGGTTGTTGGATTTGTATTTTTCTTTTGCGGTGATTGTTAGGGCTGTGATTTAGTCACTGTTACGACCGGAATTGGGAAAAATTAATTCAGAGTAAAGAAGAGTGCTGCCATATGGGCGAGAAGAGAAAAAAGTGACCGTGTGCAAAGGTTAGAATCGCTGCTTCATGATTTCTTTCGGTTCAGGAATCGTAGAGAAGAAGGCACTCTTTGGCTGCATGTTAATTTGGAGATGGAATTTCTGAGTATCGATTTGCAATCAGCTTCTCAAAAGTACAAAATATGTTAATGTTTAGGCTAAACTTAGTGGTAGCCCCGGTTTTTTTACAGCAGTTCGACCTTGGTGTTTGGAGTTGCTTCTCTCCCAAAAAAATTGGGTACAGGCGGACTGTGATGCCATGTTTTTCAGGTGCTAATGGAGGTCCTTGAGCATATAGAAGCCAAGCATATCAAGCGCATTTACGATATTTGGATGGCAAGGATAGGATCAAAAAGGAATTGCCCATCACAGGTATCTATTGAAATTCTTGTGTCTGAAGACATTATTTTGACCTTCTTTACTTATTTTTATATGTATATAATTTGGAATGAAATGGTTATAAGTTCTTTGAGTGTTTCTATTTCTGCTGTAGTCAGCGGACTCTTATTAATATGTGGTCGTTTCCGTGGGCAGGATAGGCTTGCAGTTCATTTGGAGTTCATCCTCTTTTGTCTTACTCAAGGGAATATTGAGAAAGCACATCAGAATGCTCAATCGTATGATTTTTCCTCTCTCCTGAACTGATGTGTTACTCATCCTTGACGACTGGCTTCTCTTTAAATATGGAAATAATCCTTTCATTAAAACTCAAATGCATTCAGGAATAATCATCCCTTGATTTATGCGCTTTGTGCCTTAGTTAATATTTTCTGAATGATGATATGTTGTGACAAGACAAAGAAGGACAATTACATGCTTTTGGATTTGTGAGACTTGTTGGTATTGTGCATTGATAAGGACTTAGTTCGAAGGTGGTACCTCTTTAATGCACCTTTACTCAGCATAAGAAAAAGCTTTACTTAGCATAAAAAAAAGCTTTGCGAATCAAGGCGTAATGAACGCATATTGAAGGTTACATTAGATAAAAAAGATTGAAATCTTTATCTTTATTGACACTACCCATGTGTTTGCTCAGGCTCACGCAAGAACAAGAACTTGGGAGAGATTCTACTTCATATCTGATATTAGGTTTGACATTTTATCAAAGGTGGTATTTGAGTATCCCAAGAGACATGCAAATGATAGATTTGGAGCAAACTAATGCTTGTCAACAAACTGGGATGTTGGAGGAAAGATTTGACATTTCAGTTAGGAACTCAGAGGGATATCCTGCCGTTTATAGTTGCAAGCCCAGCACATCCTTACAATGCAATTCTGACACTTCTGTCATGAAGGATAAAAGGATATTGGTGGATACTAATCATGAAAGACCTACAAAAGTCCCTGTGGAGGTTGAGGCTAATTTGGAGCAGGAGCAATCACAACATAGTATCCAATCACACCGATTTTACATGAATTCTTCTGAAGATGAAGCCTCACGGTCTACTGATGTTGGAAATGTACATTGTGCTTCTTTTTTATCTGATCTAGGTGAGTGGTGTCATTTTTCGACAATAGTTTTGCTGTTTTGGTCAGCTTAAACACTTGATTTCATGCTAGGCATATAAGTTGCGGTGTAACAGAATGCTTCACTATTGTATATGGAGATTATGCATTCTATTATTTAGCAAAGAATAAGTGGTATGTGTAATAACTAGTTTTTGAAATTGGTGCCAAAATGAGATGGCTGATTCTATCGGGTGTTGAATATGTTCCATTTGCTTATATATCCACTCGCATTCTGTCATATCACTTTGTAAACAACTTTGTAGACCAATCTTACTAGACTTTGTTTACCACTCACATTTTGTCATATCACTTTGTAGCGTTTCTTTAATACAAATCATTGAAATCTTTGTTTTCTATTGCTTTCACTTGCTACAGTCTATTAAGAGTTTTTGGATTCTTCATTGATTCCTGAGTGTTTCTCATGGTCTTTAAATAGTTGGCCTGGATTCGTGGCTGTTGCCAATAAAACTGCCACAAAACATCAAGAATTCTGAGGACTTCATCCAGCAGTACCTGGAGATGCTTAATGGTGATTACAAGGACGCAGTAAAGTATTTGCGACTAGCTCTTGATTCATCACCCGCAAAATCAGATGCCCTTCTTCCTCTGATTCAGGTTTAGCAAAAGTTTGTTTGATGTAGACTCTAGAAATATCTTGAGAAATACTTTTGAAAGAATCTTTCTTACCCCTATAGTGGTCATCTTGATCCTATCTGTTGGTGCGTTGCCTTATGTCAATGCTCATATTATATTAGGGCTACAAAGTGCTTTTAACTTGTTGATCTAAAACAGAAGGAGTTCTTGAGTGTCTGCTTTCTTTGCACATTGCCTCTGCCTTGCGTGAACAAATTGATTACGGCATACCCTTTTTATCTGGAGCTAGAACTTTGTTGTGTATTATGAAATGGTTAAGACTAAGTGAGCTTAATCCTGCAGAAATGCAGAAGACAAATCACTTATTGGGGTTCTCTCCTAACTGGTTAATTAGTTTTTGCATGTATGCACCATATCATTTGCTTCTCCATCATATTGCAAGAATCTCATTTGATTTTTCCAATTTTTTGTTAGTTGCTACTGATTGGCGGACAAGTAAATGAGGCATTGAATGTGCTCGAAGAGGTCTGTCATCATGTAGATACTGCCCTTCCTTCAAGGTACTACTGTCCTATCACAAGTTTAGGTTTGGATACAAGCGAACAAAGTTGGAAGTAACATATACAAGTTTCTGTGGAAACTAACATTTGAATTTGATTAGAGTGCGAGCTGCTCTGTTGGAAAGTTTCGCTCGTGAAAATGTTGTTGAGCTCTCATCATGCTATGAAGAAATCTTAAAGAGGGATCCAACGTGCTGCCATTCAGTGGCAAGGCTTGTCACTATGCATCAAAGTGGTATGTCAATGAAGCCTCGCTGTTAATCCCCATCCCCCCAATTTTTCAACAAATTTAACCAAATGTAGGTAAAGAAAGAGGAAAAATTTCTCCATACTGCACATCTCTCTCATAAGGTGGGCAAAGGTTTTAGTGCACATGAAGGTCGGCAAATGGGCTAAGATCTTCTTGGCAACCAAATTGAAGTTTGGATGGTTATTAGTTTCTGACAATGGGAACTTAAATTTTATCTAAGGATTGTCTTGGGACTCGACATTTTTCTGTTTTGTATGCGGAACTATGTGCATCGTGAGAATTTCAGACAGATGTATTGTCCAGCTGCTTTTGTTTTTCTTCTTTCAGCAGCTATTATTGACATGGTTAGGGGTGGATTATTCCATTCATAGGAAGTTACTGTGATGGCATCCATACAAAGCAGATGGCACTTCTTGATAAGCTTTATAACTTTCCTTATGTTAATGTCCCATCATAACATGCAGGAGATTATCATCCTGGATCCATGCTGGAAATGATCTCTCTGCATCTGGATGCTACGTATGCTGAACACCAGATATGGAGGGAATTTGCAATGTGTTTCCTCAAGCTTGCTGGGCATGAAGACGATTGCATGTCAGTGCACTTGGATGGTAAAGAAGGTGGATTTAGGCAAAACTATTCTGTTCGTTTTAATAGGATCCCTGTCCATTTCCTGAGGAATGACTTGGGCAAGAATTGGAGGTTCCGGTGCAGGTGGTGGTCGACGCGTCATTTCAGTTATAGCATTCTTGAAACAGAGATTGCAGCTGGTAATTCATCTGATTTATGTCTGAGATGTCTGCATGGTTTGTCATGTCATGTTATGTATAGTACCTTAAGTTGGCTTTGTGGACTGTGCAAATCAATGTCGAATGTGCCATTTAATGGTGTATATTCTCAACCACTTACCAAAAGGAGATTCAAAACCAGGTTTTGTAGGCATGATGAACTTTTTACTCACTCCTGTCTTAAAAAATTAAAGTTACCGCAGTGCATGATTAGCCGCTTATCAATGGGATAGTATTCTGAAAATAGGATGTTCACATGATAGACTGGCCAAGATGATGAACTGCGCAGCTCCATGAGATAGAGTGACAATTAATTCAAACTCAACAAGTGTAATATTTGACTTCCTTTGAGTTTAATTATTTAGCCAGTGGTTGTTTTCGCTGGTCTTCAATTGATTTTAGTCTGTGTCAGGTTTTATCAGTTTTCCGTGGTGCATTCTAGATTAATTTCATTTTTACATTTGCCTTTTCCCTGCAGGTAATATTCAGCTCCTAACTTACAAGGCCGCATGTGCTGCCCATATGTATGGGCAAGAGTTTGAATACGTTGTAAAGGTTTACAATAGTTTAGAAGAGGGAACTAATGAGGACTTCTTGTTGTTCTTGCGAACGCACTTGCGAAATTCCGTCAGGCTCCTGTCAAGCTTTCAGCCGAAACAGGCATGACTTTCACCGTGTTGTTTTCTAACTGGTGAGTTTCATCAGCATTTTGTGTGCCCATGGCTGAGAAAGGTGAGGATGCACGGTCGGCAAATCTGATTTGCTCAAACGAAAAGGTTTATGTTCACATTCTGTATAGAATTGGTGGTTAGGGGTGGGAGTTGTCACTTGTTTGGGTAAAAGCATCTACAACGTGCATACCAGGAAACGTGTCACAGATTTTGCTCCTCCTGTGCTAACATTCTCCTTGTATGATTCTGAATTGTGTCTCAGTTGTTTTTTTATTTTTCAATTTTTAGGGAGGTTCCTTAGATATGACAGGCAAACTCTTTCATGCATTTTAGCCATGACCGGCAGTTGCAACTCCTGCATAAAAATTGAAAAAGAACGGTCCAAGGCTACTACTACCAAGGAATTGGGAGTTCACGATCTGCCGTGTCTAAAAAACACGCGGGCGTGAAAAGTGAATTCATGTCGTGCATACGCTATGCGAAGGATACAAATTATGGGCTCAAAATCTTGCGTCCCCGCAACATTTTCTACTTTTTACTAAGGACCATCAAGCTGATAATCTCAAGAATAACTACACCCCAAACAAACCGTCCCAGCCTAACTGGAGTGTTTTGAAGGATGTTTCTGTTGTTGATACCTGTTTGTAGCATATATCACGCTTGTCACGAGCAAATAAAGCTTGAGTTCACAAACGAGAGGAGTGCTTAGCCTTTTTAATTTCACTCTGAATGATATTAAGATGCTTCTGAGTGATATTTAATCTGATAAACCATACAAGCGAACACCTCACTTGGTAATTACATTGTTGGGTACTCATCATCAATTTGTGAAACGCCTGCATTATCTGCGAGTGCGGTGCCCTAATACTATGTTGAGAAAGGAGGGATTATGATGGAAGAGAGAGGGATTCTGAAAATTTACAATCTTATTTGGATAGAGGGAAAGCAATGGAGGGAAAGGACTAAAGGGGGATTGGTCGACTCAATTGCATGTTCGTTCTAAATCCCTCCATATCCAATTAACGCTGTGTTTGTTAGGGAAGATTAGCTTGGGGGAAATAAGAGATTTGAATAAATATAAGAGAAAGAGGATAAATGAACTGAAGAGATAGAATTATACTATTGTTTGGATGCAAACGAGGGAAAAGAAAGGGAAGAACTGCATTATCACATAAATATCTTTTTATGTACTTAAAAAAAAAGAGGCAATAAAAGCAAATATGAGAAAGAATTTCAAGTTTATTTGTTAATTATTGGAAAACCAGTCACTTTTTCCTTCTTCAACTGAGATAATCTCAATGTTTTGCTGCGTTGAGTCTTCTTCATAAGCCTTTGAATAACCAGTAAAGCACCTTCATCTGAACCAGCTGAGTGTCGTACTTCATCATCAGGTTAGGCCAGCAATAGATCTAGGTAGACTGCTCGCGCTTCTGCAACAGTGGCCTTCTGAGAGCTTCCGAGGTAGGATTCATCAGTCTAGTGCATCTCATTTGATGTCGCTTTCATATATGCTTTTGATCTGGTAAACGAAAGACTCGAATGCGAAACACTGGTGATCCGGTCTCCAGTAAACAACTCCTGGTTCTATTGCGCTTGCCACCCGCACCGACATCCTAGTCAGCAGATTTCATCTTGACGATCAACGACCCTACGAAGCTCCGGATGGACTTCACAGTATGGCAAAGTATAGTGACGAAATAGTGAGGACTCAGGCCAGAGAGGTGAAGACTATCCAGAACAGATAATGGGCCACTCTGATTTAACCTCTTCTCTGTCAATCTGTTCTTGTTGTTTAACTTGTCCAGCTTCTGTTTAAGAGATGCAAATTCAGAGTCCTTGAGTTTCTGCAGCAATTCCATTTTCTTGCCCTTGTTTTCGTATGTTTTCAAAAGAGACTTCTGCTCTTGGATTTCAGCCAGAAGCATTATGGTTTCCGGCGAATATCAAATTGTCTCTTCACATGAAATCGCTCCAACTCGGACAACTCCATCAACTCGAAACAATCATTTGGCCGGCGGACTGAATCCCATCAGCATAATAAAGAGGACTGACCAAACTGTAACTGGTTGGTGAATATCAAATTTTGCGTAGTAGAGGACTCTTTAATTGCTCTGTCTCATTTGAGAACCTACCGGTACTATCACATGTATGAAAAGCAACTTATTCAGAACCACAATCGCAGAGGCCCACAATTGATCAGGTTATCGCTAAGTGACCAGACCACAAAGCAAAATATCAGGGAGCAACTGATGGAAGGAAGGGCGGGCCATCAACCTTAAGCAGTTGTAATTAGAAGCATCTGGTGATGCAAGGTGAATACTGCTCCGCGGACTTTAATTGGATGAGTTAAGAGGTTTTGCATGAGATACAAGAATTAATTGCAAAATTTCCAGATTATGAAGTTATTAGACGATCTACAAGCTCGACACTGGAAAACTCATTGTTCTTGCAAGCAAGCGAAATCATCCTTGGCCAATAATCAGCCTTCACGGCCTTTCCTTTCCTAAGACTATTCAAAACCTTTAGCAACAATTCATGATTCCCTTCCTGGCATAAAAGATCCACCAATTTATAAATACTTGCATCATGAGGGGTGTATCCTTTAAATACCATTTCATCCAACAAAAATGCTGCTTCCTTAAGCTGCATCTTCTCGCACAGACCACTGAAGAGTATCCGATAGGACACGACATCCGGAGTGCACCCACGTCTCGGCATGTCCTCAAATAGATCAGTTGCTTCTTCAAGTTTTCCTTCCTTGCATAATTCGCCCATGATCACATTATAGCTCGTCACATCAGGTTTGCACCCATTCTCCGTCATCGCATCCAGAAGTCCGTAAGCTTCATCGAAGTCCTTCTTCTTACAGGACCCACTGATTAGCACGTTATAAGTCACGGTGTCCGGCTTACACCCATTTTCTCGCATCTCCTCCAAAAGTCCAGAAACTTCAGCCGTCCTCCCAACCTCGAAAAGAGCATGAATCAAGGTCGAATATATCGCAGCATCCAACTCGATTCTCTCTCTCAGCATCTCCTCTTTAAGCTCAAATGCCATGTTCACATCACCAACCTTGCAAGACCCCTTCATCAATGATGCATACAGACGCGCATCAGGCCGGATCCCATGAACTCTAACCATATCATCTTTCAACTTAAAAGCCTCCTCTAACATAGAATTCGAACACAACCCGTTGATCAACGTCAGGAAAGTCACCCCATCAGGCCGGATCCCCCTCAGGGGCATTTCGTCAAGCACCTCCCGCGCATCCTCCAACCTCCCACTCCCGCAGAGAGCTTTGATCAAGATATTACAGGTGCACGCATCTGGGCTCGCGTGATTCCTAAACTCGCCCAAAACCTCATCCATCCTGTCATATTCCCCGCACTTCAGGAGCGCGTGCAGCACGGAATTCAAAGACCTCACGCTCATGCGGCACCGGAAACTGGGGATCGAGCGGTAAGTCCGCAACGCGCGGTCGAAGAGCCTCGCGCGCGCATAGAAGGAGATGACCCGGCAGAAGATGGGCTCGGGGACGGAGAACCGGGTCTCTCGGCTGAGCCGGGCGAGGACCTGCTCCATTTCGTCGAACATCTTGGCGGCTCCGAGCTTGGTGACGATGAGGTCGTAGGAGAGGAGCGAGTAGCGAAAGGGCTTGGCGTCGGGGCTCGGGTCGACGGATTCGAAGAGCCGGAGAGCGAGGGAAGGGTCCTTTTCGCCGCGCAGCAGGGAAGCGAGCCTGAAGGGAGACACCCGCTTCGCGCTCCGACCGAGCATCGCCATGTGAACTTGGGAGCGCGAGCTCGCGTTCGCTCGCTCGTCGTGAAAAGCTTCAGAGCCGGAAATGGGTCGGCGCGGTGGCGACTGACCGGTGAGCGACCGCCGTGTCGGAGCGCAGGTCAATCATCAATGGTCGTTCCGCCGGAGAGGGAGAGGCGGCGGAGTTCGGCGGTCGAAAGGAGTCCCCGGACCGGCCGGTTCGTTGGTATTCGGTGCAACTTTAATGAAGCGTGTATTATAATCTAATGGAATTTTTATAGATGAATTGTAAATCTTACTCCCTGTATTAAATATTCTGGTTATTTTCTTAATCCGTGACCCTGAAGGTCTTGTTTCGAAAGTCGAGGTCGACATAAAATTTTTTTGTTTCGAGAATATTATTAAAATTTTAAGATTTGGTTTTATCTAGTCACAATAGTGCGTTTACTTGAGTTAAAAAAATATTTTAATTTTTCTTTTAACAATGATAGATCGGATTGATATTGTCTACTACGAGATGAACTTAATGTGAGTCGCGCTCATCTACACTTAAAAGCATGGCTCATGACCAGAGATATACTCGAACGATCAGACAAGATGAGCACATCATTTTCACTCAGATATTAACTCACTTTAACCTTTGCATTTATGCATTATTACAAGTCGTTCCTTCACTAAAAATCGAATTACACATGAGGCAGACAATATATTAATACCGATTAAAATTATGTTATCCAAATCGATCTTTTGGTTTATCAATTTAATTAAACGACGAAATTGCATTAGTAAGACTCGAAGAAGATAGAGGTAAAAAAGACTTGGGCGAACTCATCCCCGTTTGATCATAAAACAGGTTCACGAACTTACGACCTTCACCGTGTCAAAATCGTAGTTTAGGCTTTTTTGTTCTACTACAAATAACCTGAAACGACGAATGGGATCGGATGTAATGTTGGCCTTTTTATCTTTTCCCTATAAAAAAAAAAAAGAACTCGCTGTTTTGAATACGAAAAATTTGGGAGGGAGAAAGCGAGATTTTGAGAGCGAGTGTGGTGTGTTTTGTGTTTTTTTGGTAAATTAAAGTTGAACCAAACGAATTCACGATCATTCGCGGGGTCCCACACCCACCCTAATATGAAAAAGAAAGAATCTACGGAGTAGATTGAAGCAAAGCACAGAAGAGAAGGGGCGCACAAAAACTGAAACTATATAAAAGAAATCTCTCTCTCTATTCTCTCTCTCTCTCTATATCATGCGATATCTCTGAGACCATCATCATTTTCGTGGCGCTTTTTTAATTCAAAAAAAATAAAGGCCAAGCGCGCCCCCCCTTCCCCTTCACATTCCCCACTTACCCTCTTCACCCAAGAAAAAGTTCCTTCCTTTCTCGCCTTGCAGCAGATCTCGCACTCCCCCCCTTCTCTCCTTCCCTCTCTCTCTCCATAGGAAGGAAGGAAGCAAGGAAAGAAGGTTAAAGAGGGAACAGGGAGCGCAGCAGCAATGGCGGGTTACAGAGCGGAGGACGACTACGACTACCTGTACAAGGTGGTGCTGATCGGGGACTCCGGGGTGGGCAAGTCCAACCTCCTCTCCCGCTTCACCAAGAACGAGTTCAACCTCGAGTCCAAGTCCACCATCGGCGTCGAGTTCGCCACTCGCACCCTCAGCGTCGACGGCAAGGTCGTCAAGGCTCAGATTTGGGACACCGCCGGTCAAGAAAGGTTCCTCCCTCTTTTGAATTCTTGTGGCCTCTCTTTAGCTCTGCTCTGTCCCGGATTTGGGTTTTTCTGTGGATTTTTCTTGCGAGTTCCGTGCCGAGGTTAGATGATATTGTTGGACATGTGCGTATTCACGAACCCATTTTGAGGTCACTCTCTTGGGAGGGGGGGAGGATGTAGTTTCTTTAAGGCTCTCTTCTTCTTCTTCTTCTTCTTCTTCAGGGTTTCGCGAAACTTTTGATGATGACCATTGCCTTCATTTTCTTGCTTTATTTATTTGCATTTTCGCAAAATCACGTGGAAGCCTTTCAGGGTCCTTTGGGTTCCATTCTGCGGGTCTTGCTAGTTTACTTCTGCTCTGCGTATGCTTGAGGAGTGGCCACACGCATCGTTCTTGGTTCTGTGTGCGCCCTGTTTTATTATGAAGAACATGTTGGACAGTGTTACTGTGTATCTCATGTACTCTGAGCAATCGATAGCTGATTACTCTATGACCATGAAGTGGGGACGTATTCGTGAGAAATCATTCGGTTCGAAGGACAGACCCGCTAAAGCTAAATTCAGATAACTTATCCTAAAATGGTCGGTCAGGACTGCGGATCTTAAATTCGCTTCTATGCCTCTTTAATATTTTAGACAAAAGAATTCACTTTCTCCTGAACTTTTGCTGGCTGCTGATGATTATTTACTTTTCCTCAATAGTTCATTCATTATGCTGAGATGATTGGATAATGTGAACTCAAACTCATTTTTTCCTCTGCCCTGCTGAGGGGTTCATAGCTGCCTGGAAGTGATTGTTGCTCAACTCTTTGTGATTTAGTTCGAACATCTTATGCACACTAGATGACCCTGTAGGAAGCATGTTGAGAAACGCAGTTAATAATAGCATTTTTGGTACTATTGCTGGCTTATACGAGCATCTGGAGCTTTTTCAGAAAAAGCAAGCATTATCTACTGGTCATGCTTCCACCAGTAGAAATCAAAGTTTCGCCGAGGTTAATGTGTTAATGCACTTCGTGAACTGACTATGCTGTTGTTATCCGCTACTACTGTACCCTAAAGTTACCAAACTAAGTCACCTCAAGTGAGGTGATGATACAATATTGTGTTTTTTTGGATGTTGGCACGGTCCTTTGATGCGGGGAGGTTCTTGGAGTTGCATGGTACTCTATTTAAAGTTTATTTCTTAATGCGGCTGGCAAATTTTTTGCATTATCACAGAGACCAGAAGAATGTGTAGTTTTCCTCACTTCCTTCCTTAACTAGATCTCACCGCACGGATTTCGTCAACAATCTTTCTGATAATGGGTACCTTGAGCTAAAGAAGGGAAAAGATGACGATGCTTTCTTGTGTAAAAGTTGTTGCTCCATTGGCATGGATCGTTAGATTAGACAATTTCTAGTCATCACTTATACGACATTTAGCATCACACCATATAATCGGGCAAAAGGTTTGCTTTGTTGCAATTTTTTTAGTGCTCCCCTTTATATGGAAGTTCTGTAGATGTTTTTATATGTTAGGAAATTTGACATTGCAGGTACCGTGCCATCACTAGTGCTTACTATCGTGGAGCTATGGGTGCACTCCTTGTGTATGATGTCACTCGCCATGCAACGTTTGAAAATGTGGATAGATGGCTGAAAGAGTTAAGGAACCACACAGATCCAAGCATTGTGGTGATGCTTGTTGGGAACAAATCTGACCTTCGTCATCTTATAGCAGTGTCAACAGAAGATGGGAAAACCTATGCCGAGAGGGAATCGCTGTACTACATGGAAACCTCAGCATTAGAGGCAACAAATGTAGAAAATGCCTTTGCAGAAGTTCTAACCCAGATCTACCGTACCACTAGTAAGAAGACAGTGGAAGGAGATGATGGATCTGCTGCCGCATTCCCTTCTCAAGGAGAAAAGATAAATATCAAGGATGACGTCTCTGCCTTGAAGAAAGTTGGCTGTTGCTCAACTTAAGGTCGGAGATGATTGTTGCTTGCATAGATTGATACTTTGATTTCAGTTGTATAACATCTTTCATTCCCAAAAGCTGAAGAAAAGTTAGCTAGAAGAAACGAACGAGACGCTAAAGTTGCGCAGCAAAAGCTTAGTACATCATGCCTTTGGTGTGACTGTAGGGTAGCTGCATAAGTTAGTTATTTCTCTGTTCTGATTCACGCAAAGCCATTATTTGGGGAGTTTCATCTTTCTGAGAACTAACAAGATTTGTTGCTTTATGTACTCTTTCATAGTGTTATTACAGTAATGATGGCTGTGTGTGTGCATCTCCAGGTTTCTGAAGAAACTTTTTGATTTCTTTCACCATATAGACAAACACAGCTCACTGCAACGATCTGCAGGCAGGAATGAGCTTATTTTCTTGTTAAGGCTTTGTATCGAATATACAACACAAAGATAGGACTGCTGATGCTAAAGAAGGAGCTTTAGTTTCTTGTTGAGAAGGGACATCCATTTTTAGTAGCTTTTAATGTCGCAGCAGCTTCGTCTTCTCTTTCACGTGCATCAGAGTTAAGAGATTGGCTTGCCCTTCAGGAGCCCCCCAAAGAGTTCTGCTGGATCATAGTATTTTTCAACTTCTTCGGCCCTCATAGATTCATCAACCTGCGAACAATTTCATGTGTTACTGGAAATGAAATCAGGGTCTATGTATAGTTTTTCAGTGTTTTCATTTTCAGAACACTAAACAGATGAACAGTGGATGCACCTTCATAATTCCAACGCCATAGAACTCAACCATCTCTCCAGTGGCAGCGTGCTCTTTGAAAGGACCCTCAAAATAACCCCAGCGCCTGAACTTGTAGGTAATCACTGGAGGTCCAGAGTAAACACTAACCACTTCCCGTGCAAATCCCCTTGGCAATGCTAGTCTGAACGCGTCATGGGACGATTGGAAACTCTCTTGATCTGCTTTGTAATATCGAAATTCCTCTGGTAGTGAATTCTGCATAAGGGCATTGTAGCTACCTAGCCTGAGTGTCTCTTCTCCCGACAATCCCTCTCTGCCTGTTTTATTGCGAAAACCGAATAGTTGAAAAATGATATCAAATATGCTGCTGCAATAGAAGAGAGAAAAATAAAGTCACGGGTTTGACTTGATGGTCTTGAAGTCTTGCAGCCTAGTCTTGTGAGACAGCTCCATTTCCCATGACTTCACTGCATTTTGAACAGCTTCTTCTATTGATCCTTGTGGCCATTCCTGCAAATAATATTACGTACTGTTCACAATCACATATGAGAGAGAGAGAGAGAGAGAGAGAGAGAGAGAGAGAGAGAGAGAGGGGTCAGTGTTATTCTCAAACAAAACCTTGGTTCGTCCTTCCTCGAAGAGCTTGTTAACCGCATAAAAAATGGGGGGTCCCCCATGTCTCCACTGGGTATTTTCCGTCTCTTCGTTCAACATCGATCGATACTTATCGGCCGCAACTTTTACATCCTCCACTTTGCTTAGCTAAGCTCTCAGCCTCTTCACTAGCCATAATAGCTCTTGAAATCGATGTCGTAATACAGGCTCGACTTTGAGTAGAAGAAGACGGAGCGTGATTAATGCAATGCTTTCTCTGCAACGCCTATTTATAAGCACAATGCAGTGAGTAGCTAAGCATAGGAAGAAAAACCCAAGACGATGAGCAATGGCCGAGTCTGTCCAAACGCCGTTCATGCCAAAAGTTCTGCGAGTGATGATTTCAGAGGGGCTCGTCTTCTTTATGTCAGAAGTCGCCGCATAGCAAATGCGATGCATGCAAGGCAAGGCGAGGAGTGAGATAAGCGAGGCGGCATTCCCATGTCTTGCTCCGCTTTGAGTTGAGAACAGAGTCGACCCCATCAACACAAGCAAATGCCAGACTTCTCTACAAAGAATTTGTTTGAATAATATAAACTTGATTGTTGGATTTGAGCGCGTCGGTGTTACTCAAAGAAAACCTCGATTCATGGTAGGTGCCTGAAGAAGAATGAAAATGCAAGCATCTAATGAAGAAGAGGTACTGGAGCATGAAAACAGAAAGAAATCAATAGACGAGATTTATGGTGGGCTGCGTGAACTAGAGAACGAAGACCACTATGTGAAGACCTCATTAAATCCTAGCAGGCGCATCGAAAGGAAAAGATTATGGGCACGTAGAAAAATTTCTTCTCCATTATATGCTACGTCGTTTTGGAGCAAGTAGTCATAGGGTTCAACAATTTTTTGAATAGTAAAACTTTAGCCATAAATAAAAGCATTATAAGCTAGCCACAAAAACAGAGCGAGCTTCACAATTAGAAAGTTGTCGCACGAGCATTTGCATTTCAATAAGACCATCGAGTCTTTATTTGTGCTTTTCTTCCAAATTGCCAAAGTTACCATTATTCTTTTGGTTCCAACAGCATTTTCACATTATACCATGTGGTCTGGATATTGCAGCAAGTAGCGGTGAGTTCTCATGTAAAAAGTATGAAATGAGGCCTACGTCGAGCTATTAGAAAATAGAGCTATTCTTTTCACCATAATTAAATTGTAAAATATACCAATTAAGAAGATAATTTTCAATTTAGAAATCAGGCAATATGAATTGCTAATATATAAGGGTGCGCATGGCAACGATTCTGTGCCCGGAAACTAATTCTGCTCGGAAATGATTCTTTTTTATTCCGTGCCCGGAACAATTTCTAAGCATTTGAAGGCGTTTGGTAACTGCCCAAAATTTCTTTTCTTAGAATAGAAAAAGAACAGAAATGCGTTTGGTAACTACACAAAATTTCATTTTATTAATAATATTTTGAATTTTTAATATTTTTTTATTTTTTTTCCTTTTTTTTTTCTTTTCTTCCTTGGCCATGGCCGGTTGCTGGCGCCAGCAACTGGCCACAGGCTAGGGTTGGCGAGGGCGAGGTTGGCCTCGCATTGGTTAGGTGAGGCCTCGCCGTCGCGGCCGCAAGCCACCTCGCCGGCCACTGGCGAGGGCCGCGACGCCCTCGTCGGCCTTGGCCGGCGGGTGGCTAGCGGCATGCCGGGAAGAAGAAGAAGAACAAAAAACAAGAAGAAGAAAACCAAGAAGAATCGGAAATGGAAAAATTGTTCCAGAATCAAGAAGTTATTTTTTTTTGCTTCTTGATTCTGTTCCAAAACTGATTCTGGAAATAATTTTTTACAAAATTGTGCTCAGGCACAAAAAATTTAACAAACGGATTTCTGTTTCCAAACTGATTTCGGGAACAAAAAAATAGAAATTTTTACTATTTGGTAACTTGCCAAACGAGCCCTAAATAGCTCTCCTCACTACGTTGCTTTTATTTAACTTAACATTCAATAAAACAAAACTCAAAAAAGAAGAAGTTGAGGAAAAAACAAATTTTTTTAACAGCTATTTTACACTAATGCTTGCATTTAAATTAGTCAGCAATACACGGCATAATAATAAATGTAAGGGAAATAACACAAATGGTCCTTAAACTTTGGCTCAATATGTAATGTGATCTCTGAATTTTAGCCTAATGTGCGACGTGGTTCTGAATTTTTAATTTGTTCAATATAATCTCTCAACTTTTGGTACATGTTCAATTTATTTCTTGAACTATATGAAAATGTTCAATTTTGTCAATGATCTTGAATTAATGGAAATGCTATATTAAATATTTTTATATAGTTCAAGAACCACATTGAACATGTGCCAAAACTTCAGGAACCATATTGAATAAATTAAATATTCAGGAATCATATTAAATATTAAATTAAATTTCGGGAACTACGGTAAATAAATTGAAAGTTGAGGAACCATACTACATAATAAACAAAAATTTAAAGACCATTTATGTCATTTGCCTGAATGCAAATAAGCGAATCTGTTCTTTCAAGTATTGAAGGGCTCGCCGGCCAAGTCGCCATCTTCCAAAGCCTTTTGCTCTTCTAAGGGGAGACGGAGATGACCGGAGAAGAGGTGTCGGGTCCCCCCGGGCCGAAGGCCCTTCGTCTCCTGTACTTCGTCGGCGCCGGATGTGAGTCAACCCCCTACTCTCCCTTCCCATTACGACTGTTTCGAGTTCGATTTCTGTGGTTGTAGAGATGTATATGAATGTCGTCCACTGACGATTGCTGCTCAATCGAATCCTCTGTATTTGATTACTGGTTTGTTCCAGTCATTTGCGTTGCTGCGATCAACAGGTGGCGTGAGCTGGAGCGGAAGTCCCTTGAACAGCAGCAACACGGGTTGAAGGATGAATCGCCCCATGACCCGGCTGCCAAAGCTGTGCCCAAAGCCATCGATTGACTGGTTCTTCAGGTTCTTTTCTGGGATTAAAAGTGCTTGCTTTGTCTTCCTAATGTAATTTTGCTAATTTGGTTTGGCTGTAATTTTCGTTCTTTTTGGGTTCATGTCCTGGAGTTTGGACTTGGGTTTTTTTTTTAAAATTTGATTCAGCTGGAAGAACATGGTAGAATTGAGCTTGTCGAAGAGACTCTGATTTGCGGTGGCTGATGTGATAACTATATCATTACTTGAGAGTTGGGACCGAAATGTGAAAGCATACAATGATACCCCCTTACTTCCATTTAGTGTTTATTGTGTATCGACGCGAAGATAGCTTAATATGCTGCACCTATGGTACTTGTTTGGCAGTTGTTTCCACACATTAGAGGTCCTTGGACTCGGTGCTTGATTTGTTGATTGGTCTTCCTTTGGACTGGGAAACAACCAACAGGATCTGTGGCATTGGATATGCAAGTCTTTACCTTATAATCTCATTACTGATCATCAATTCGGTGACACCGCATGCTCAATGTCAATGATCTAGGTACTTTCATTCGCCAATTGACCCAGCCAGTTGATACTCAAGGGCAAGTTCCCGTAATTAGTATACCTCCATCTTCAACTTTGTCTAATCTTATCACCTAGCACTAGCTTCTGAAGCTAGTTCCTCTTGTTAATTGTGACATAACAATGCCCATTGTTTTCTTTGATGACAAGCAACTTCACTTTGGGTTTGGTATTTTTTGTCCCATTAGAATCAAATACTCCCACTTGACGCATAAAACGGTGCTTTAAAGAATTATGAGCATGTGACTTGTCAGGGTGCTTCAGAAATTGCGAACCAATTAACAGAGTCAACTCTTGAAAGAGTAATTCGTAGTTACATATGATACATAGAGCATAAGCTGATTCTGGAAATGCTGTTTATGAGGAAAAAATTGAAAGAGAAGCTGTGTTTATTACAAACAGCGATTGCTCTGGTTTTCCTACAAATTTATGTACTGTTTACACAGAAATGTTATGCCTCTCTTCTCTTTATATGCTCCGACTTCTTAAGTCCATGGAAAATGTCTCTCTTCTATCAGAAAATTAATACTGCTTGTTAATCCTTTATCAATCTTTGCTCCCATCTTCAAGGAGGCCGCTTTTGAGTGCGAAGGTTTTTCAGAAACCATAAAAGTTATTGATCTAATGATAGAGAAAAAAGTATTGTGATTGTTCAGAGTACGAGATGTGACTATTGCTTGCAGCGAGTCCATAGATCATCCCACTTTTTCAGTCTCGTGGCTGATTGACCTGAACCTTGGTCTTCTCATCATCTTGCAAGTTGGGATGACCAGCACTAATAGTTAGCAACTTCACATGCTGTTTTCTGTCAATGAATGAAAGCTGGAAGGTAGAGATTATCGTGTAGCTACTGAGAGCTTTTACCAATATCTAGTATAAGCTGAAGGCATGTGAACTAGTTTTGATCTTCTGCCAGTTTTGAAAGTTTTGTCACAATTGCCCTGTTTGCTCTTTGGCAATTCAGTATCTTGGTTGATGAACAATTTTTATGCGTTTTTTGAGGAAAGTCTGCATAAACATGCTTGAGAGGAGATAAATAGCCATGTATAAATCCAGCATGCTGATCATGCCCTGCAAATGATCCCTTAGTCTAGCCCTCTTGCCTTTCAGTGAATGTGCCAGGAATAGACCAACCACTGAAAGGGGGTGCACCGGCAACTCGAAGCCATGAGAACAGGAGCCAAACTCTAGAAGCCAGTGAACAATTTCCGGATGAATGGTTGTAATTATTTTTCCTTTCTATGATCACGAGCCTTCTTTTTGACTTCACATGAGAGGTAACAGTACCGCACTGATGATGGAGTATTGGTATGATGATTCTTGCTTGAAGTAGTGATAGATAAATTCAACATTTGATCTTTCGGCAATAACCCATATCTCTTCTGAACAAAATTGGTTTATCCGGTGACAGGGCCGGGTAAACGGCTACAAGTCCTTTTGCAAAAAAACATTATATTAGCTTCTCCACAGTCAGTTGATAAGATTCTGTCTAAGTATGCTTTATCCGCTGCGTTATGCAGCTCATCAAGGGACAGTGCTTTGGTCCAAAAATCAGTATCCCCTAGTGAAAGGAAACAGATCGACGAAACACACTCTATCAATTTCCCATCGCACTGAACGGAAAATATAGAAATTGTGATAACAAATTCTTCTTTGACATTTTCAACGGACATTATGATAGTATATCGAGCATTCTCGAACAAATTCCCCTTAACTTGTAATTGGGTTGGATAACAACTGAAGTATATGCCGTCTTCTTCTGAGTACACTAAGGCTTATATGCTGTGACTAACTTAGTGACTGTTTAAGTTAGGATTCTTGATTGGCGGGTTACAAGTTATAATCTATCACCAGCATTCGAAATTCAAGCAAATTGGAATGTGGATAATGTCAATACACGTAATCTCCCAATCAAAGATGGAGGAAAACATGACCCTCGGTAATTTTAAGAGAGAGATCCGAAAGAAATCATCATGGCGTTCTAAAATCACCAAAAATGACAGAACGAGTATTGAACAGCCCTTCTAGGGGAAAAGTGCCAAAAAAGTCCTAAACCTTTTGCATTAGTGCCAATTTAGTCTTAAACCTTTTTTTGATGTCAATTCAGTCCTAAACTTTTTGCATTGGTGCCAATTTAGTCCTAAACCTTTTTTTGGTGCCAATTCAGTCCTAAACCTTTTAAATTGGCGTCAATTCAGTCATAAACCTTTTAAATTGGCGCCAATTTAGTCCTTCCGGCCAATTTTGACCGGAATTTGCAGACGTGGACGCCTGCTGGCCGGCGCTGACGTGGACAACTTTAATATTATTTTTAATATTTTTTTGAATTTTTATTTTTTTTTCCTTTTTTTCCACTTTTTTTTTTTTTGGTCTCTCCCTCCTCCCCGGCGACCGGCCAGAGGCCGGCGAGCTCGACCTCGCCGGCCACTGGCGAGGGCGGCCTCGCCCGGCGAGGGCGAGCCTCGCCTTGGTCGGGTGAGGCTCGACCTCCCCAGATCCGGCGAGGTCGGGCCTCACCCGACCATGGCGAGGCTCGAGCTCTCGCCGGAGGCCCGGCGAGGGCTAGCCTCGCCTTGGTCGGGCGAGGCTCGAGCCCTCGCCGGATCTAGAGAAGTCGAGCCTCACCCAGCGACCTCGCCAAATCCGGCGAGGTCGGGCCTCGCCCGACCATGGCGAGGCTCACCCTCACCGCGGCCTCCAGCGAGGGCTCGAGCCTCGCCTTGGTCGGGCGAGGCTCGACCTCGCCGGATCCGGCGAGGGCTCGAGCCTCGCCTTGGTCGGGCGAGGCTCGACCTCGTCGGATCTGGCGAGGTCAAGCCTTGCTCGACCAAGGCGAGGCCCGCCCTCGCCGGGCGAGGCCGCTCTCGCCAGTGGCCGGCGAGGTCGAGCTCGCCGGCCTCTGGCCGGTCGCCGGACCGGCGACCGGCCAGAGGGAGGAGGGAGAGACAAAAAAAAAGTGGAAAAAAAAGAAAAAAAAAGGAAAAAAAATATTAAAGTTGTCCACGTCAGCGCCGGTGACTGGCCGGCAGACGTCCACGTCGGCAAAATCCGGTCAAAATTAATCGAAATGACTAAATTGGCACAAAAACAAAAGGTTTAGGACTGAATTGGCACCAATTTAAAAGGTTTAGGACTGAATTGGCACAAAAAAAGGTTTAGGACTAAATTGGCACCAATGCAAAGGGTTTAGCACTGAATTGACACCAAAAAAAGATTTAGGACTAAATTGACACTAATATAAAAGGTTTAGAATTTTTTTGGCACTTTTCCCGCCCTTCTAGCATATGAACAGCCTAACTTATTATCTGAAACGGTGGGCAAGACAAGAACGATGACCCAACCTCGTGATATGAAGCGCCGGATTCACAGGGAGGGCGCATGCGGCTCGGACTTTATGGCTGAGCAGACAACTGCACTGCAATTTAATGAAACGATAAACTTTGTGGGGCTTTTCTCGCGGTTCTATGTATCAAGACCGCTGTGACTTCACCGCCGCACTTTGTCAGCACTTACCATCACTGAATCTCATGCAAAATCTCTCTCAACATGCTCCGCAGGATTGTTTATTTACTATTCAGCGGTGGAACTCCAGCGAAACGGCGCAAATCTTTTGTATTTTAATAGGACTTTAGACTAGAAACAAACCCGCAATCATCGTATCGTGTAACCATCGCCCGTAGGTACGATTGAATCGAATTACGGAACCGGAATACAGGCAAAGTATTTCGTAGTAGTCACGAATTTTTCGCGAAAATTGGATCTTATGAGATTTCAAATGATCTGGCAACTATGGAAGAGGGGGTTGGTCGGAGCTTGAGGAGAAATGGAAAGCTCACTTACTAAATATTAAACCGGATCACTTGTCGTCGTAATTGAAATCCTTTAACTAAACCAAGCCGATCACCGTCTTTAAATAATATTTCACAATGATTTTCACAAAAAAAAAGAATTGATATCTCGATCACCGTCTTTAAATCATGTATTGTGATGGGTTCCGCTTAATAGACCTTATACAATTTTTTTTTCTTGAAAGGAGACGTGTGCAGTCTTCGATGAAAAGCTGCCAAGATAAAAGTACGAAATCATGTGAACTCCACGTGTGCATGTTCAAGGAAGAGACGTAATTTAAGATTGAACCCATCATATTTGGGTTGCTATTGCTGGTTTATTTGTTTTTGATTTAGAGATACCTCAGCTTATATCCCGAGTGCAAGCAAAGATGATTCAAGGGTCTAACTTCAGCTTCGCATGCTATTCAGAGATGTTATTGCTATAATGTTAATGTCGTTTTGCCAAATTCAGTCCTCGTTTTTGGCCTTTTCTCTACCTTTTGGAACTGCAGCCCAAGTGCATTGCATTGCACTTCAATAAATTCCCATTCCACACCCTCTCATCACTATTCCTCCTATACCTCTCTCTTAATGGAGTCTCAGTCCGCCGCCGCCCCCGCTGCCCCCGCCGCCGCCCCCTACATGCGAGACCGCTTTGGGTGCTGCTTCCACAACTGGATAGCACAGCAACACCGCGACCTCAACGAGCTGCTGGTGGCGGTCTCCACCGACTCCGGCGATGCCGAGAAGCTCAGGTCCCTCGCCGGGAAGAACATCCAGCACTTCCGGGACTACCTCGAGGTCCGGTCGCAGCTCGCCCAGCACGACGCGCCTTCCTTCTTCTGCCCCTCCTGGTGCACCTCCTTCGAGGACTCCTTCCTCTGGATCGGTGGTTGCAGTTGTGATTCCTCACTTCCTAAATGCAGATGTGCAATCGCGATTATCTGATTCGGTCCCGTCCGTTTTGGTCCCGTTTTTGCAACGAGGAATTGCTTGAGATGTCGACTGATTTTGATCGAGAAAGGTGATTTTAAGCGATCACTTTCTCGCAGGCCGACTCTGGCTATCAGGCTCGTGTACTCGATCTCTGGATCGGACCTAGAGGCCTGGCTCACCAGCGGAGGGAGACGAGGCGATGATAATAGCAACGGCAGCGGCGACAATCTCAGCGCGATATCGGCATCGCAGCTGAAATCAATCAACGAACTGCACATGAAGACGGCGAGGATGGAGGAGAAGCTGTCGAGCCGGATGGCGAGCATGCAGGAGGAGATCGCGGACGACCCACTGGCGCTGATAGCGAGGCGGAGAGGCCGGGTAGGGGAGGAGAGCGAGTCGGTGGAGAGGGTGATGAAGGGGCATGCCCTGTCGCTGGCGCGGGTGCTGACGGAGGCGGACGAGATGAGGCTGGCGACGCTGAGGGAGATGGTGGAGGAGATCCTGACGCCGTTGCAGGCGGTGGAGTTCCTGGTGAACATGAAGAAGCTTCACCTCTCGATCCACGAGTGGGGGAAACGGAGGGACTCTGTTCTCGGAAAGGTCTGAGTCGAACATCCATTCTCCCTTTTCATCTTCTTGTGTTCTCAAGCTGCATGCATGGCACGAGCATGTGCGATTGTACATGATGTATATACACACTACACAGTACGGATCGGCTAGGGCTCTCCTTTCTGTATTATATGCAGTTAAGAAAGTTCAAGTTTACATTGTCGAGTGCACCTGCACAAATTTGTTGGGCTAGTCCGTGTCAGAGAAGATGTTCAGGATCGATTGTTTAAGGAACTTAGTGCATGTGATAAATTGAATCTGGATCACCAAATTTGATGGGACTTGCATATGATATGATCTACATCGTCCTTTCATTGTCGACGGTCCAAATTCAATTTAGTACATATACATTGCTTATGTGATATTGTCGACATTATTTTTTGATATGTATATATAGACGATGTTAGTGGGCCTTGACTTTTCTAATTTAGTGGTGTAGAAATTATCAATATCCATATCAAGAAAATATTAGATATGCCTGTTTTGCCACGTAAGCGGTAGGACACTCCATTCAGTGCTTGTCATGTATCTAGGTGAGCTCTATTGATCAGTCTCTTTGTCTTCTTCACCATTTCTTCCTCTCTTTTTTCCTTTCATTTTTCTTGTTTTCTTTCTTTCCCTTTGGCCTGTGCCAGTACTCTGCCATGGCCAGTCACAGGCAAGGGTCGTCTCGCTAGATCTGGTGAGGACTTGACCCTCACGGCCTGGGCGAGAGTCACTCTCGCCAAATTTGGTGGGGCCTGCCCTCAAGGCCAGTGGTGAGGGCTCGACTCTCGCGACTTGGGCGAGGGTGAGGATGAAAAATCAATGAGTGGACTGATGATGGAGGAGGGGCTGTCGGTGAAGAAGCGACCAAATAGCCACGGGTGTTGAAGGCGTCGGTGGAGTTGGTGGCGGGCCTACAGTCGATGTGGAAGAAGAAGCATATAGGAGGGGGAGGAGGCAACAAGGAGAGAGAAGGAGAAGGAGGAGAGAGATGAAGAGACAAAATCTGAAACTTGAGCCTCACTCGAACACTAGACGATTAATTAGTAGAGTGTCACACTACTTACGTGATGAAATTTGCCCACCTAATATTTTCCATGTGGTGGGATTTTCCCAAATTATTGGGCCATGTCTTTTGACACGTGTCTCTACTCAAGTTAAAATAATTGGGTATTCCCTCCTGGGCATTGAAAAAGTCTTGCGTGCTCAAGATGCATGTGAGCTCAGCCCAATGAAACCCATCGATCTAGCGGTGCGCTTGAATTGGGAATTCTCATTCACTTGGAGCATGCGATAATTGCTCTTGGACATCACTTTAGTACTTGAAACTCTATTTTAATTAGAATATTACCCGCTCGTTTTCGCTGTTGATACAAAATGTATATCGACCAAATGTCATCATAATTGTCGATTAAAGATAACATACACTGAAAAACTATGCATTTGTATTGATCATGCTGTTTTTTAGAGCTTAGGGGGACAAACTTGTGTGTGGTTTATGCTCACGAGACAAGTTTTATTTCCTATGCCATTAAATACAAATGGATTAGTGGACGGACTTATGTTTTGCGTAGCGAGGGTTACCTCCTGCCTCACTTACTTCTTCGGACCTTCGAATTGAGTTTTGCCCCCTTAGGTATACACAAGTCATACCTAGGGCAAATTGCCCTGTTCATGATATTTCCAATGAGATTTATATATCTCGCTCTCTCCCAAGTCCATGCTTCTTAGGTTGACAATTTTGAGCAAATGTCGTACTTTCTCTTAACATTACGAATATACGAACCGGAAAGGACGTTGCACATCACGTAATCGTCTTTGAATGCTAAACAATCCGTAGCATTCTCTACAGTTGCCCAATTAAATATGCTAGGTATCCTTCCATATTGCACAAACATCCGTAGCATTCTCTATATTTCAGAATGGTTCGAAGACCTTTCAGGGTTTCACCCTTTCATAAAACTAGGGTTACTGCTCGTAACCATGCTGCTCTCTTCTCTTCTCCGTATAACCCGCTTCAAAAGCAAAAGCTCAGCCCCGGATCATGCAAGCGATCTCCTCCGGATCGAAACTTTAACAAGCAGACGAAATCAAGTTCGGATCGACCCCATCAAATCCCGGCGCCACCTGTAACACACTCACCTCATATTTCGCCACGTACACCAGACTCGCATGCCAACTGTTAACCCTACACGGCGCTACAGAAGACCCGCAACCCCCGCGCATGCATTGCATACCTTGCATCGCACATTCACACGCATAATCCTCCGCTTCCCTGTCTCTCTCTCACTCTCTCTCTCTCTCTCTCTCTCTCTTCCCCTCTTCATAGCTATATTCCAAAAGAGACGAGGATGAACAGCTTCGACAGGTTCTACGGCGGCTGGCTGGAGCAGCTCCGCCACCTCTTGGACCAGCTGGCCGCTGCGCCCAGGCCCCCGACCACCGCCGACCACCACCACCAGCTCCATCACCTGGTGAGCAAGTTCATGAGCCACTACACGGAGTACTACCGGATGAAGGCCCTCGCGGTGGACTGCGACGTCCTCTCCGTCCTTGCCGTCCCGTGGATCACCGCCCTCGAGCGGTCGCTCCACTGGATCGGCGAGTGGCGGCCCACCACGGTATTCCACCTGGTCTACACCGAGTCGAGCATTCTGTTCATGTCCCACATCATCGACATCCTCCGTGGGTTCAAGACCGGTGACCTGGGGGATCTGTCTCCGAGCCAGTTCAGGCGAGTTCGCAAGCTTAATGAACAATTTTCTCTCTGCCCCTCTAAGGCTAGGATTTGAGTTTCTCCTAACTTAGGAAATCATGCGAACTTTTTGTCAAGATTATTATGGAAAATTTAGGTAGAATTACTTCCTTCGGACCTATTGAGTCATTTTAGGAATTACCAAATAAGACACAAAAACTGTAAGTGCATGTAATCCTTTTTTCATTAATATTCAAGATACCTACTATAGTGCAATTGATTGGGCGCACTGGGAGAATTTTAGCTTAGAAACAGGACAGGTCACCTGTTCGATATGCCCTAGTGCGTGCAACACCTCTTACGTGTCTCATGGGTGCAGGCAACGGGTCTGACCAAAGAAGTATCTAATTTATGAAATTATTATACGAAGGAGCTCGGTTGGTGCATATTGTAGTTTTTGCATTTCATGAGATTGACTCGATGATGACGACCCATTAGCATTTACAAATGTTCTGTGATTCTTGACAATATTCTTAGAAAGTTTCTAGGTTGTATACGTATACGTATATTTCTATTTCAATGAAATGCAATTGGATTGGATCTAAAATAGTGTAATTATATATAGACTCCTTATAAGTTTGGCGATCTAACGGATATATATGCTCTAAAGTTTCCGACAATATCTAGATTGTCAATTCCGTCAGTTTCTATGTTGTGAAATCTGTCAATTGCTATCTAACGGAATGAAAAGTATTATGGCATTATTAATTGATTGAGATACTAGATTATTGTCTAACGGAAGGATTTTTATTTACGATATTTTGAACGGATCGACACATATATACGACATTCTTAACTGATTGATGTACTAGGTTGATTATCAGATGACTGATCGACACGTAGATTCTATATTCATAACCGATATATATACTAGATCGATGACCGGACGATTGACATGTAAATCAATGTCTTGATAGGGGAGTGAGTGAGCTGCAATGCGACACGGTGAGGGAAGAGAACGCGATAACGGAGGAGCTGTCGGAGTGGCAAGACAGTGTGAGTGACCTGATGGTGGCGAGCTCGAGCATGGAGGGGAAGATAGGGAAGCTGGGGGCGATCGTGAAAAAAGCGGACGACCTGAGGCTGAAGACGGTGAGGCGAGTGGTGGAGCTGCTGACGCCGCAGCAAGCCGTGGAGTTCTTAATTTCCGCGTCCGAGCTTCAGTTGGGGATCCGCAGCTGGGGCTTGAATCTCAGTAATGGTCCTCACTAACCTAAACAATAGAACCGTGGAGTTCATGGAGCTTGTCATAGCATCGTATTTGGATAGTCATCTCTTTTGCATGGTTGATGAATGTGGGGATGTTGCTTGCTGGTGCTTTGCTGTGGATTCAGCCAAGAAAACTCGACTGTGTGTTTGTCCTCCATGTGAATATGACTTCGGGGGTGCCTCATTCATTCGAGTTTTAGCTTTCAATGGGAGTTGTTTTTTCCATTTTGTAACCTAATCTTGGTTAATCTGAGAAAATTTTCTTTTATAGTATCCTCTTTTTTGTTTCCTTTTTCTCAAACCAGAATGCTTTCCGACTCGGCGTCATCTGGGCAAGGATGACTTAGCAAAAGAACAAACCAAATTGCTATGATCGAAGCAAAAGGCACGGCACGGCTTTGCCTAGGAAAAACGAAAAAGACAACCGAAAATAGGGAAACGAAAGGTAAAACAAACGGCGGCTTGTGCTTAGCGTTACGACTGAGGTTGACGTGTTGAGATCGTAAGGGAGAAGCGACATGCATGGCGACACTTGTTGCTGAATGTCCCACCTACGTGTTCCGCAACTGCACTCGACAAAGCAACAAATGTAATGCATGGCCACACTCACTTTTTTGCTGGTTTTCTTCTCCCCACGGGTCTCGAGATGCTTAACCCCTCCACGTGTCCTCTAAAACCTAATCCTTTCCCTCCAGGTTTGCGCACGGTTCGAAACCCACCGTGGAATTGAACAGTATTTCGTGAGAAGAAAACTAAGCCGTTGTTGTCTTATCGTGAATCTCTGTTTTCTTTGACCCGGCCCGCGTAGTTCCTAGCTCGAGCCCATCACTTTCAAGAAGAGAATTCATAGTTATTTTCTTCGGCCGTGTTCTGAATCTCAACCCAAAAGTAGAAGTTCGTCGTTCATGAGACATCAACCTTTTTAGGCCCATCTTTATCTTCGCTTGCTTTTGCCTGGGTCCTCTTGTGCACCATTTTCTCTTCCTCTTTTCACTTTGCTTTTTCCTTTTTCCCCCTCTCAGATTCGGCTCTCCCATCTCTCTTTATTTTTGCAAGTTGATGATCTGTCTCTTATGAAGTTCTCATGGCGATAGTAGATTTTTAATGGCATACCAAATTGAATTGAAAAATGAAGGAGAGTAAAGGAATGCATATTGAAAAAGGAATGCACAGTGGGTTCGTTCAGAATTAGGAGAAGTAAAGAAACTGGAAATAGCTTCAGAAGATGAAGATGAACAGGAATCAATCATTTGGCCTAGTCTAATCCTGTGCACAGTGCATGCCCAATGGATCCAAAGACATGGCCATGACATGAGAACCTCCTCGTTGACTCAAAACTCTTCAATGGGCACTCATAGATCCTCCATTCAAAACTCACTGGCCTAGTCTCAACTGTTCTTGTACCGCGTAAGGATAACTATCAAGTTAAGAATAATAACACGCAATCATTTTCTTATGCATCCTAGCATTATGCGAGAGGTGTCAAAAGAAGGAGAACATCTAAGGAAAGGCACTTCGGCGAGGGAGACTTGATTGCATGACCCCATTTGGTGTCACTGACCCCCTTTATTGGCTATCACGACCAGCATTAATTCGTCATTGACCTATCTGTTTTCAGCAACACTTCAATCGTCATTGATTCCGCTGGTGGTCACGCTTGGCTCGCCAATGGAGGCCGAGGGTTGCCAAGGGTCTAGGTTCGCTCATCTGGATCAACGATCGTCTGGAGACATGCGGGTCTGGGTCACCGAGGTCATGTGACCCTCACCATCGCCTCTTTTATAATCTCTCCAACACTCCCATTGCTTCTTATTTATGTTGGATTAGAGATAAGTTTAGTTTGTGTAGGTCTTCCTCTTCATCTTCCCACCGAAAATGGTTTTTTGGGATCGTGTTTGTTCCTCTGTTGCACCTTCTTTAACATGTGAATTTGACACGACCCTTAAAGTTTGCGATCAACTGTTTTTTATTTGTGATTTTACTTCATGAGAGTTATGCCAATGTTTGCACTGTTTCTCATTGATTTTTTTTTTTTTGTCAAAGTGTTTTCCATTGATTGAATAGGCATTAAAGTTAAACCAGATAAGCCTTGTACTCAGAAGCCAAATGGGTTGAGACTTTACTCTCCCAGGTAAACTTCTCTGTTCGTTGATTTCGGTATGAAAAAGCCCAAATTTTCATTGGTTTTCCTTTTCATTTAATGAGTTGACTGGGTTTGAACGATTTGGTGAAACGTGTATGTGGTGGTGTGAGTTATATGAAGGCTAGTGAACTAGTGGCAAGGAAGAGTGATGCTAGTGCTAATGATTGAGTTGATCTTGTCGGTTCAATGAGAACATTTTGCTTGCGGCAATAGAGGTTTCAATTTTGAGTGCCGGAATGTGATTGTGCAGAGGTGAGAGATCTTTGGAGCAGAAGTCGTTGTCTAGAGATTTCTTAATCTCAGAGTCACCTCCCCTAGCCTCTTCGATGGTTTGATCCTAGCCGGCGATTGATTTGCTTTACCAGGTTTGCTTCCACAATGGAGATGATGAACATTAGCCATGCCCTCTGTTTTCTTTTTAAATACACAAAAAGTCACTTAAGCAGAGGGCATTTGCTCTGAGCAAATGTACCTTGAATCAAAGAGTTTTGAAGAAATGACTTTGCATTTCCCCAATACTCTCCCAACCGTACCCATTATCATTTTCTATCATCTCTAAGTTCGTGATTGGGCAGGTCTCTATTCTCCTCAGTATCACCAACCTGCAGGGTTCAATTCCCGACAATTAGCGGGGTTCCATCACGTAAACAAACGATACTTGAATGATACAGCGTTTTGCGTTCTGACAAAGTGATGTCCGCAAGCACAGGAAAAGCTGCCATTACAAGGTTGCAGGGATACGACTTCCAAGTTTAACGTCCAAATTGCACAGGTAAAGGTTGCGTTTGCCATCTAAAGTGGATGGAACAGCAAAGTGTGAACCCTTACATGCCACCCTGTGTGCCATATCAATTGGAGGATAAACCATCGAGATCTAAACAGTCGACTGTCAAGGTCTTGAATTCTCAAGGAAGTCTCGACTCTTGAGCAAAGTGTAACAGGGAAAATCACTCGTGTGGTGTGTTACTGTCCACTTCCCAAATTGAAAATTAGTAAATCTAAATTTGGCCTAGACCACATGTAAGTTGTGCATATTCATAGCTTAATTATGCGAATGTCAGAGAGGATAATACCCACAAAGCCAAGATTGATATCCAAAGATCAATGAAATTACGGGACTCCACGTTTCAGTGATCCTTCTCTAAAAGCATCCATATATCATATATCCCCCAGTGCAACTCTTCCTTTTTTCAGCCAATCCTACTACAGAAGGCCTTCAGATAACAAAAAAGAAACACGCAAATTTATACTATGTTGTTCAGGCCATTCACTACTGACTATTCACAGTAACACCTAATTGCCTTTCAAGGTTGTGATAGTTGCTAACCTCTCAAAGCACCTGTGCACCGATATCTTGACAGGCGGTAGCATTATCTATTGTAGGCGTGTCAGTACCATTATCCTGCAAAAATCAAATCAAATCAAATCACTGGACTTTCAAGTATCCTAAAGAAATAAGACGGCAAGCCAAAAACAGAGATACAAAATATTTACCAGCATATCAGCTGGTTGAACTGAAGATTGATTAAGAGCTTCCAGATCATTCGCAATGGATGGAAATTTATTAATATCCCAACCAAGAAGCTTGCATATAGCTCTTCCATAAGCCCTGTGAGCCCTCTTCTTCGTCTTGACTATTGTTGTGGAATGCTGAAGTAGCCCAGTGCACCCCTTGAACCTCTTCCAGGGCTTCTTTCCAACACCGGCACAAACCAAACAACCGAAATCGCCATCTCTATATTTACCATTGTAATAACTCCTCAGTTCAGCATTCTCTGTGAACAGCACAGTAAAGAACTTAACAATTTCACATTCCCCGTCGTCATCCCCATGCAACACATCTTCACTTTTATCGCCCTCATCTTCTTCCTCATCATCAGCCTCCTCATCACCGTCAGTATCTGAACCAGACATGCAATTGAAAAAAGCTTGGCAACCGTCAAGGACCTTTTGATGCCAAGTTTCGGGTTCTGCTTTTTCCTCAGCCGAAACCAAGTGAGACTTAAAAGGAGGCCACTCAGATGCTGCCATGCCAGCACGGTCTACAGGGCTTTCACAGGGCCATTTGATGCTGGACACTGGTGACGATACAGAATCCTGCACAACACAGTCATTTCATACTTAAGATCATGATGAAGAGCTTGACTGTAATATGAATTTACCAGAAGAAGAATAGACTGGAGTATATCCGTTCAGATGATTAAAAAAAAAGAGAAATAGATATGAGCATCTTAACGACAAAATATTTGTTGGAGGTACTATCATCTGTTCGTACATTGGCGTCCAGACAATTTATGGACATAAAAAATTTATCTGTACTGCCACCCTGTAGTGTTAAATTTAAGCAGATTAGAGAACTTCATCAAGCATCTCAAAGAAATTAGACAGGAAAAGCACCCGACTGAGCCAAATACATACCTGCATATCACCTGACTGAACTAAAGAGTGACCAAGAGCTTCTGAAGTATTCTTAATTGGGGGTAAACAATCGATATCCCAATTGAGAACCTTGCAAATAGCCCTAGCATAGGCCTTGTGAGCCAGCTTTTTTATCTTCCATATAGTAGTGCAGTGCTGAAGAAGCCCATTACACCCCTTGAACCTCTTCCAAGGCTTCTTTCCAACACCAGCGCAAACCAAACAACAGAAATCGCCATCACCATATTTACTCTCATAATATCTCTTTAATTCAGCATTCTCCATAAACAGCTTCATAAAGAACTTAATGACTTCACATTCCCCATCGACATCTCCATCCAAGAGATCATCTTCATCTTCATCATCATCATTTTCTTCTTCATCATCAGCCTCCTCATCACCATCACTTTCTGAACCAGATCTGCATCGGAAAAAAACATGACAAGCCTGGAAAACCTTCTGATGCCACGTCTCGGATTCCTCTTTCACCTCAGTCAAAACTGAGTGACTTGATAGAGATTTAAAGGGACGCCATCCCGATTCTGCTGTGGCAGAACTGTCAACAAGGTTTCCACAGGGCCATTCAGCACTGGAGGTTGGCAACGGTACAGAATCCTGCACACGATGGTTATCATATATTTCAAGGATATGGCCAAGAACTTGTTCTGATAGGAATTCACCCTAAAAAAGAGGAATTAGAAAATTACCTAACAGAAGTATAGTAGCCTTATCATATTTCGCTCAAAGTATTTATAGACAATATACAAGCGTCTTGAGGAGAAAAATAGTTAATTGTCGCATTATTAGTTTGCTCTTCCAGATCTTGAGTTGTAAATTCTTATAGTGACCTAAAGCAGAAATAACCACATATTTTCATCTCACCATTGTGGTTCTTGTTGTTGCTAAATGAAAAATGCAAGTCACATTTCGATTGTTATGTACATTTAATCAGTAACGCAGGTAAATGGATTTCAGTAGACAGCAATGTCATTGCCCCTAATAATATCTAAATTCTTAGTTTCGTCACAATCATCTTACAGAAAACTGTAGCAATTTCTCTTCATCAGCTCTGGCATCTATGTTTTCCCTGTTTAGATTTTTTATGCCCAGGGAATCATCTTCTTTGGCAGCAGTCTGCCAATTTATGGAAATTCTTCGATACACATCAGACACTTAAAGTGAGCAAGTCATGTGAGAAGACTTCCATAGCCAAAAACAAAACCTTCTCTCTTACCGGGCCATCTACCTTCCCTTCTCCATTGATCCCTGGTATTGAAATTTCCTTGTCATAATTTTCAACAGACTTTGTAGCAGCATCTTCTTCACAAACTGTCTGCAATCCATAACAAAGGACACATCAGTAAATATACCATCAGAGTAATATCAACAATAACCAGCCTCAAGGAACATCGAGTTCATTGACATTCTCAAAGTGAGTAATCGTTATGTGTAACCAATGACCTCACGACTCATCAACTCATTGACATTCTGAATTACGTCATTGCTTGTTTTCCGCCCAAATTGACCATTTTTTGTCCCTCCCACAAGCTACATTGTCCACATCTTCGTTATTAACACCAGCATTTTCCTTAATCTCATTCTCACCCTACATATATCGTAGGTACTCTAACAACATAGCTTCCAAGCATCCAAAAACCAAAATAACACAAGAATTAGCCCAATACCTGCACTAAACTCGGACCGGGCAAAGATCGACTCAGCCGCTTGCCCTTCTTTACAATAAGAGGCAATCTCCCAACATCCCAACCCATGACTCTACAAATGACCAAGCCAAAAGCCCTATGAGCCCGCCTCTTCTTCGTCTTGGATATATTAATCGAATGCTGCAAAACCCCACAACAGTTCTTAAACTTCCTCCCACTCATCTTACCCCCTTGCGCGCCACACACAAAGCACCAAAAGTCCCCACTCTCGTGATTCCTCTCGTAATACTCCCTCAACTCCTCATCCTTCACAAACACGTCCAACAGAAACTTGTACTCCTCACTCTCCTGTAACCCGCCATTATCGCCCTCCGCACGATCATCCTCCATTTCATCTCCGTCTCCATCGTCCTCCCCCTCCTCGCCATCCGAATCGCCGGCTCTCGCAAACAATCCGCGGCATCTCTCCAGAGCCCTCTGCTGCGTCACCCGCCCGGCGATCTCGGCTTGCTCCTCGGCGGAGGCGGGCCGGGACGTTTGGCCGGAATCGGGCTCCTTCTGCTTCGTCGCGGGCCATGCGGGATAGGGCTGAGGGATGGGTTCTTCCCGGCACGGCCATTCGTTCTCCGGCTGCTTCGGTTCTTCGCCATCCTTGCGCTTCTTGCGCTGCCTCTTCTTCTTCTTCTTCTTCTTCTTCTTCTCCTGGGCGGCGTCCGAGTTCGGTTTCTTGAAAGGCGCGGGCCTCGAAACGGGAATGGCCCGCGACGGAGGGTGGTCGGAGAGAGGAGGGTTCGGAGGATGAGGAGGGCCCAGGTGCCACAGGGAGTGGAGGTAGACAACCTCGTCCCTCAGTCTCCGCTCGAAGGGATCATCCATCGTCGTCGGAGGAGACGACGAAAGGCGTGATTTTTTTTTCCGTTTCCTTCGACGTCGGCGAGAGAGGTTCTTCTTCAAGGAATTCCTCCTCGTCTGGTCGGGACTCGCGCGCATCGCAGCTGGGAAACGGGAAACTCCATGGCTTCGAACGACGAGAATTGAATGACAGAACGGAGTTCGGGTAAAGTCCGGAAATTTAAAGCTTAAAATTTGCATTGGCAGTTTTGGGCGTGACATCCCTCCTTTGTATGTACAAGTTACTGTATGCCTAGCTAGTATGAGCATAACTATAGTTTGAGCTTTATAGATGTGCTTGCAATTTGCGTGCTAACACCCGCAACGCGTGGGGTGTGTGGAACTTTTGGCATTCTTCAAGATTAGTCTCCTTTGCTTAGTTGTCCTCTATGAGTCTATGTGACTAATTCCTTGGCATCGCGATCCCCCGCGACGGGTGCGTGAAACTTTATGGGCTCGTGAGGATTGCGCGAGGAGCGGGTTGCTTCGGCAGGGAGCGAGGAAGAAGAAAACGGAAGAAACCCTAATCGGGATTCGATTCGGGGATTTCGTGCATTTTTCGCCCGATTGCAAATCTTGTACAAAATTGTCCCCATTTTAGTCGTCGGAGGCGAAGATTTGGCCGGCCGGCGAATTCAAACCCTTATTTGAGGCTAGCTTAACTATTTTAGGCCTTCATATGAGACATGATCCACTTTGGGCTTTTTTTTTAAAAATGACTCCCATTTCGGGCTTTTATTTGAAATTTTCCATAAACTAATTTATAAATGTAACTAATTCCTTTGCTTCGTGATCCGAATGATTTTTTTTCCAAAAAATTGACACGAATTTTAAAAGCGAGGATATCTGCTTATAAAATATTCGATTTGTTAGGTAATCTTTGAAGATATCGAATTTTAGTTATCAATGATATATAACGTGCAATTTTATTTTTTTCTATATTAAAATGAGGTAATGGTGTTCTTTTTAACGGAAGGTGGACATCAAATTGGAAAATTGGCTATATATACAGTATAAGATAAATATAGACAGCATCGATTATTATATTCAATCCCAATTAATTGACTACAGGAGCATGTCATCTAGCTCCCTAGCAATTCATTTTAGTGCTTATCCTTAGAATCCTGAAGATTCGGAAACAAATAGATAAATGTATGGGTGAGCTACAAGAACTGCCCGGACTGGGAACTGTCCGGATTGGACTAGACCGAACCAATCCTGAAGTGAGTCATCGTATTCCAATTGACCCCCTTGCACTTTGCTAGTGCTAAAAATGGCCGTTTTACTGAATACTTGACAATCGCGTGCCCACAGGGCAAAATTTGTGCGAAATTTCCGTTTCCCCCCGGATAAGATCTTCACGTGACTAAAAAGTAAGCCAAAAGAGCTCAATCTTTTTTAGTTCCACCGAAAAAGTCGAGTCTTATAAAGGACGACACTCGATGAGTGAGATTCTATTTTGGGGGTGGTGTGACTTAGAGACATCGTTGAATACATTTCGACCTCATTTTACACTTTTGTTGCTTAACCTTGGAGGCGAAGGACAAAGAGAATGGATTGGGAATTGGAAATGGAGTATCAAAGATCAGACCAAGAGAATAGAAATAGAGAAAGAAATTGGCTTGAGAGAGAGACCAGGTTTCGAATTTAAGGCTTTGAAAGTACGGATGCGGAAGGAGGAAGGCTCGACTGAGGACATCACGGATTGAGAAGACCCTAAGGAGGCGATTATTGCACGCAAGTATTGGGAAATGAAATTTGTGTATTTTTTCAAGATTTTAAGGTTTTACATCGAGATTACTTCAAGAACGACTTGATTAGGGATATCATGGATCGAGAGGAACTTGAAGTGGCTAACATAACCTCAAATAAGAGCTCGGCTCACCAGCCAACTAAATCTTCGCCGGTGCCTAGCACACGCATCTCACCTTCCACTTTCCAAGCCATGGCCGGGGGCATTTTTTCTTTCTTTTTTTTTGTCTTTCTTATTTTCAATGTTCATCTTCATTTTCATCCTTCGTCTGTCCTTCCGCACCAATGCTGAGCCACTTCCGGTGCCCGATCTTGTTCGACGTTTAATGGTCCCAAACAGGTATAAGCTGGACTTTCTGCCCTAAAGATGCTTTCGAAGCAGGGTTTGAAGACTTCAAGGTAATGAATAGAATAATAAGTGTCACAGTTTGCTGAGCTTCGACAAAAGAATCTTCCTAATGTAATTACATTTGAACAAATCCAGGTTTGAAAATTTGAGAGAGTCCTAGGAATTCAATTCCCTTCCTGAAAAGGTTCGACGAACGAATCCTTTATCAATGAGAACACCATCAATGCCATCGAATCCTTTACAATGTCGCTTAATTGCACATGTTACTATGTCGTCCTCCATGGCCACTCGTACATGCGAACTCCCCAATCCCTCCCTTCGATTCCATCTTCCATCTTCACTGAGAAAAAACCATGCTGCACACATAGCACTGCTCGGATGCACAGGCTCGATGAGCCGTCGAGCCCCAACCGGCACACCACAGCGGTGCCGTAGAAGAGGACGGCCATTTTGATCACCGGTGATGAGTAGGTGGGGTCTATTGGAATCCGGTGACTCGTTTCCCGGAGGTATTTTGACGGACGTCACGGTCTGAGCTAACCTATTTCAATTTGTCTATCACTTAGGTAAAAAATGAAAGAAATTCCGCTTTTTTTGGATTCCTTGCGGATCCCGTTATTGATTTCCTCTATTGCTGAACTTTCTACGGTGACCAGATTTGCTTCCTCTATTGATGAACTTTCTTCGTTTGCATCACCTTTCCATTCCGCTCCTAGCGATGAGTTTGCATTGTTTTCTACTCCACCGGACGAAGTCTCCAAGAGAAAGTTCAACTTTGAAGCAAAAGCAATCCCTCAACCACCACCACCATCCATGGCTTCCTCTCTCTTCTTCTTCCTCCTCATCATTTTCCTCTCTCTCTCCTCTCCATCCGCCGCAAACGTCCACCGGACCAAGCTCCTCCGGTCGTCCCTCATCTCCGAACCCGGGCTTCGCGCCAACTCCACCCCCTCGCCCACTCGCTATTTCGAAGTCACCAGGCCCATCAGGCTCCCCGACACCAAGCCTTGCTCGTACCTGATCTTACAACACGACTTCGCGCACACGTATGGCAAGCCCCCGGTTCTCGCCAATTACACCCCTCCATCGAGTTGTTATTCACAGAAATTTGCAAAGGTCGTGCTGGAATGGAGCGCCACTTGCAAAGGCAGGCAATTTGACCGGATTTTCGGGGTTTGGCTTGACGGGGTCGAGCTTCTCAGGAGCTGCACTGCGGAGCCGAGAGCTACGGGAATGTTTTGGAGTGTCAAGAAGGACATTACCAGGTACTATTCGTTGCTCATGAAGAACGGTACTCTTGCCGTTTCTCTTCGCAATGTTGTGGATGACACCTATACAGGGGTTTACCATGTCAAGTTAAAGTTTCATTTTTATCCTGTTGATGATGAGCATTTGGCGGGGGATGTTGGAAATTCGAGGGATTCCGCACCATCTGGGTATGGTTCGAATGCGGATTTGATCTTGCCCATTTCGAGAAACTTGCCGCTGAATGATGGGTTGTGGTTTGAAATCGAGAATGCTACGGATACTGAGACGAAGGAGTTCAGAGTTCCCCTGAATGTTTACAGGGCAGTGCTGGAGGTTTATGTGTCTTTTCATGAGAATGATGAGTTTTGGTATGGGAATCTCCCCAATGAGTATATTGAGGCCAATAATCTTACCGGAGTAGCCGGGAATGGCCCTTTTAGGGAGGTTCTCGTGAGTCTTGACGGTGCGGTAGTCGGTGCGGTTTGGCCTTTCACGGTGGTATACACCGGGGGGGTCAATCCTCTTTTGTGGAGACCCATCACTGCCATTGGGTCGTTTAATCTCCCTACATACGATATCGAGATCACGCCCTTTCTAGGGAAGATATTAGACGGAAAGCTCCATGAATTTGGCTTCAGTGTCACGAACGCTTTTAATGTGTGGTACATTGACGCCAATCTGCATCTTTGGCTGGATGATAAGAGCACCAAAACTGCAGGGAAGCTTCTGACTTACAATTGCATGCCTCTAGCTGTTTCTTCGGTGGTGGATTTTAAGGGCTTTGATGGGAAGTTTTCGACCGGGGTCAGCCGGTCCATATCGTCCCGGGGATGGGTGAAGTCATCTTATGGGAAAATCAAGACCACTTGGAAGCAAGAGTTTAATTACAGTAACGTGATGGTCATGGGGAATCATGCGAATCTGCAAATTATCAACCAGCTGATCCATTTCAACGACCGCCTTCATGCTAAGAAGCAGTCCTCCACCCTTGCATCCATTCGAGTGCGCAGAGATTTCCCGTTCTATCTATACTCCAACAATGTGGATCAGGGAAACGGCACTTCCTTATCCGTGGCGAACTTTTCGATGGCTTTTAATGAGAAAAGGCGTAAGGATTCCGGCTTCAAGCTCTCGAGGAGTTCGCTGAGCAATGTGCAGACCGGGCAGGGCAACATGACCGTGAAGAATAACTTGGTGGCCAGCGGGTTCGGCAGTACTCAGCAAGTGTACAAGTATCGCGCGGGCGAACTCTGCTACTACAGAAATGTGAGCAGCTCAAATTACACTATTCTTCACGACCACATTGTCATGAAATGTAAGAAAGGAGCAGAGTCTCGTTATGCATCCAGAACGAACCGACGGTGGCCTTCTCGCATTCAGGGGTTTATCTGATTTAACCACATGGGGATGCTTCAGAACTTCGTGTCATCTCATCTTTCAGCTTCCTTATGTGCCCGAAATAAAGACCACTGAAAATCAGTACATATGTCCGTCAAGCACTTTTGTGGGTGTTCTTTGAACCTCTCGTCAACATCCCAAGCTTTCACTTTCTTTTCCTTAATAGAGCATATGGAGTAGTTTCATTTCTTTGGCCCCGGCATTGCTGTATAGTATCCAGCTCGAAGCCGATTTCAAGTAGTCATGCTCTTCCCATGTCGTGAAACTTTTAACAACAGTATCCTTTGACGAAACTTTGACGGAAGGTAACTGTGCCACACATGCACAAGTTGGGGAATTTTTTGTGCCACACAAAAGTTTAAGGTAAATGTGTCACGATTAACATAGTTTGGATTTTTTTGTGGCTTTTGCCTCTAGTTTAATGTTCATTTTCAATGGATTTGTTTGGGTATTTAAGGAAGAAAAAGGAGGAATTAATTATCTAAAAAAAGTAGGACCCTCTTTCTTCTATTTAACTAATACCTTCGCATAGCCATCTGAATTTTTTTTTCCCAAAAATTGAAATAAATTTTAAAAGCCAGGATATGCGCTTGTAAAATAGTAGATTTGTTTGGTAATCGTTTGGAGATATCGGGTTTTAGGCATCAATAATATATATGTGCTATTTTTTTTCTGTATTGAAATGAGGTAATGGTGTTTTCGTTGCACGGAAGGTAGACATCAAATCGAAAAATTGGCTTTATATATATTATAAGATAAATATGGATAGTGTCGATTATTATATTCAATCCCAAATAATTGACTACAGGAGCATGTCATCTAGCTCCCTAGTAATTCATTTTAGTGTCTATTCTTAAACTCTTAAAAATAAAGGAAACAAATAGATGCATGAGAAGTTTCCGGCACGGAATGAAGGAGCATATATGTCACGTGCTACTTTTCAGGCCATGGTCTGGAGCATTTTTTTTTTTCTTTCTTTCTTATTTCCTATGTATTAATAAGTTTCATTTCCTCTATTAATAAACTTTCTTCAATTTTCAAGCAGCCGAAAAGTCTTTTTCTCTCCCTCTCCCTTCTCTTTCTCGGCTTCTTCGACCTTCAATCATAGGGAGGGTTTGAGCTAGTCTCAATCTCCCCTCTCTCTTTTTATTTCTTGATTTTGTTTGAGGTTTCTTGTTTTTTTTTCCTTATTTTCTCTTCCTTCCGGATCTAGATTTGGGAGCTTTTATTTACTGGTTCAATTTTAAATCCGAGAGTTTGAAATTTAATCAGTTCTAAATATAGGAGCTATTCTCTCCGGATTTAAATTTAGGAGTTTAATAATGTTTTCGGAATTCAATATCCATGCTCTATCCGTGTAGAGGGCTTATACCTCTAATGATGATCGCAGGAGCTCTGGCATCTCGCTGAACTACGAATATTTGCTATTCCAAAATTTAGATCTAATATTGTCTCCGCACGACAATAGTGTAGAGAAGCTAAATCTAGGCGCGCACCGTTATCTAGTAATGCCGTAGTTATTGGAAAAAAAATTTCGGTCTGTACTTATCACCAACGATCATACAAGATCCATTGGTCAGTCAGCCAGTTAGTTTGCTTAACAGATCCATTCTCATGGAAGAAGTGTGTGCTTAACTATGCTGGTATTCTGTTGATCCTTTTTGTTTTTTATATGCTTCGATTTTCTTTGCGATGAAAATCTATGTAATTTTTTTTTATCGGTGAACTCTACATACTTCTCATATATCATTTTGACCGAGCAACAAATATAATTTTCTTACGACAAAAATCAAAGCCTTCTTCGACTTCGGCCCTGTTTGGTTCAGCATTTGAATGCTGCTTTGGGGCTCTAAAGTCCCTTGAACAAATGTAAAATTGTTTGGCAAGCTTTGAGGAAATGCAATTGCATCTCTAAAACTCTCCAAGGGCCTTTGGCTAAATGGAGGAGCCTTGGAGAAGTTGCATTTTCGGGATGCAACTTCACTGTTCATCGAGTGACTATTGTTCATCTTCTTCAAGCTTTGGGTCCAGCGGCCGATGACCGCCGCCCCAGGGGTAGCGCAACCCCGGCGATTGTCGCCTGGGGTCGCCGGTCGCTAGCCTGGGTGGCGAGACCCAGGCCAGTCGCGCGACCCAGGGCGTCGCCCGAGGTTCGGCGACCCCAGGCGGCAGTCACGCGACCTAGATGACGCCGCCTGAGGTTGCCGGATCTCAGGCTTCGCCTAGGTTGCACGACCAGGTGATGCTTGAGGTCGCGCGACCTCAGGCCGTCTCTTCAGAGGTTAGGCGGCGGTGGCCAGCGACCAAATCTAGTCGTTGACAGTTGGCCGGCGACCAGATTTGGCCGGCGGTGATGATCGATGGGTGAGCTCCACCGAGATTGTTTTTTTTTTCTTTTTTTTTAAATATCAGCAAAAGTCTTTTACAAAATATAATTTTTACTAAACAGTATTTAGGTCAAAGTTGCTTTCAAATGTGATTTTAAAATGCACATTACCAAACAATACTTGCATTTCGGAAAATCCTTTTGGCTAAAAGGCCTTTGCATTTTGCTAAAGGCATTCTTCAAAAGCTAAACCAAACGGCCTTCATCACCTTCCTTTCCACCCCATGTGTTTGATTTTTTATTCCATTACTTGTACAAGTACAACGCATGCTCCAAGAAAACGTTCCATATGCAACAACAATCCTTCAACCACCATCCATGGCTTCCTCTCTTCTTCCACCTCCTCATTCTCCTCTCTCTCTCCTCTCTCTCCACCGCGAACGTCCACCGGACCAAGCTCCTCCGATCGTCCCTCGTCTCCGAACCCGCACTTCACGCCAACTCCACCCGCGCCCCCACTCGCATCTTTGAAGTCACCAAGCCCATCAGGCTCCCCGACACCAAGCCTTGCTCGTACCACATTTTACAACACGACTTCGCATACACGTATGGCAAGCCCCCGGTTCTCGCCAATTACACCCCTCCATCGACTTGTTATTCACAGACATTCGCAAAGATTGTGCTTGAATGGAGTTCCACTTGCAAAGGCAGGCAATATGACCGAATTTTCGGGGTTTGGCTTGGTGGTGTTGAGCTTCTCAGGAGCTGCACTGCCGAGCCGAGAGCTACAGGGATTTTTTGGAGGGTCAAGAAGGACATTACCAGGTACTATTCGCTGCTCATGAAGAACGGTACTCTTGCCGTTTATCTTGGCAATGTTGTGGATAGGACCTATACAGGGGTTTACCATGTCCAGATAAAGTTTCATTTTTACCCTGCCGATGACGAGCATTTGGTGGGGGATGTGGGAAATTCGAGGGATTCGGTACCTGGGTATGGTTCGAATGCGGATTTGATCTTGCCCATTTCGAGAAACCTGCCGCTGAATGATGGGTTGTGGTTTGAAATCGAGAATGCTACGGATACTGAGACGAAGGAGTTCAGTGTTCCCCTGAATGTTTACAGGGCAGTGCTGGAGGTTTATGTGTCCTTTCATGAGAATGATGAGGTTTGGTATGGGAATCTCCCCAATGAGTATATCGAGGCCAATAATCTTACCGGGGTAGCCGGGAATGGCCCTTTTAGGGAGGTTCTCGTGAGTCTCGATGGTGACGTAGTCGGTGCCGTTTGGCCTTTCACGGTGGTATACACAGGAGGGATCAATCCTCTTTTGTGGAGACCCATCACTGGCATTGGGTCGTTTAATCTCCCTACATATGATATCGAGATCACGCCCTTTCTAGCGAAGATATTAGATGGAAAGCTCCACGAATTTGGCTTCAGTGTCACGAATGCTTTGAATGTGTGGTACATTGATGCGAATCTGCATCTTTGGCTGGATGATACGAGCACAGAAACTGCAGGGAAGCTTCTGACCTACCATTGTATGCCTCTAGTTGTTTCTTCGGTGTTGGATTTTAAGGGCTTAGATGGTAAGTTTTCGACTGGAGTCAGCCGGTCCATATCGTCCAGTGGATGGGTGAAGTCATCTTATGGGAAAATCAAGACCACTTGGAAGCAAGAATTTAATTACAGTAATGTGATGGTCATGGGGAATGACGGGAATCTGCAAATTATTAATCAGCTGATCCATTTCAATGACGGTGTTGATGCTACGAGCTCGTCCTCCACCCTTGCATCCATCCGAGTAGACAGAGATTTCCCCTTCTATCTATACTCCAACTATGTGGATCAAGGAAATGGCACTTCCTTATCTGTTGCAAACCTTACGTTTGCTTTTAATGAGAAAAGGCATAAGGATTCTGGCTTCAAGCTCTCAAGTGGTTCACTGAGCAATGTGCAGAAGGGGCAGGGTTACATGACTGTGAAGAATAACTTGGTAGTCAGTGGCTTAGGCAGTACTCAGCAAGTGTACAAGTATTATGGCAGCGAACTCTGCTACTTCAGAAATGTGAGTAACTCAAATTACACAATTCTTCATGACGACATTGTCAAGAAATGTAAGAAAGGAGCATGAGTCTCGTTATGCATCCAGAATCGACAGATGGTGGCCTACTCGTACTCTTATCTGATTTAACCACGTGGGGATGCTTCAGACCTTCTTGTCATCTCATCTTTCAGCTTCTTTATGTGCCCGAAATAAAAACTATTGAAAATCAGTATCAATGTATCGTGACCTCCCTTCGCTTTTAATTAGGCAATTAAAATTTAGGTGTCAACAATATATCGTTGAGCACTTTTGTGGGTATTCTTTGAAGCTCTCGTCAACATCCCAAACTTTTATTTTCTTTTCCTTAATAGAGTCACTATATGGAGTAGTTTCATTTCTGTGGCCCTGGCAATGCTGTATGGTATCCAGCTCAAAGCCGAATTCGGACGTTGAAGTTGATCAGTAGTCGTGCTCTTCCCATGGTGTGAAAATTTTAACTGAGCAAGCTTTTTACCGTCTTTATTGACAGAGCTTTAACGGAGGGTCAATATATCACATAGGTACAAGTTTGAGATATTTGCTGTCACAGAAAAAAAAAGTTTGGGATGATTATGTCATTGTTGGCATAATTTGGGGCTTTCGGTGGGTTTTGCCCCTATTTTAATGTTCGTTTTCAATAGATTTGTTTGGGTATTTAAGGAAGAATTAATTATCTAAAAATGTAGGAACCCTTTTTCTTTTATTTAACTAATATCTTCGCATAGCCATCCCAATGATTTTTTTCCCAAAAATCAACATGAATTTTAGAAGCGAGGAATATGCGCTTGTAAAATAGGAGATTTGTTAGATAATCATTA